GGTAGGTATGATCACATGAAGAAACTTCTTTTTTTATGTTTTTCGAAATAATTCGTTAAATTCTATCTATCTACATGTACGATTGTATGCGCAAAATGGGCAAGTCATTATAACGGCATTAAACTAGATCTTAAGAGAAGGTCACAAAGTATAAAATGCTTTCGACTTTATTTGAACGAGTATCACGCGGAACATTCTTTATACATATTTGTCGTCTCCGTCAAGTCGTAAAGGAGGTTTGTTTGAATCGCAAACAACGCAGATTAGAGAAAACAGAAATGAGCTGCGTGAGTAGAAATTCACACTAGTCTGACCACTTTTACACATGTCATCCGGACGACTCGACCGCTTGCTTGTGTTTCGTTTGGATCGGTTCACGCTGGTATCCGCGGTACCACACATACAGTACACCTGGTCTTAATTTGTTGCCATTGGCTGTGTCGTTGGAAAAATAACATTCAACCGTGACCTTCAGTTTTCTTATTTATTAATTACTAGCTGGCCCGGCAGACTTCGTAGTGCCTCAATCAATAAATAAAAGACCTAAACTTTTGTATAAAATAAACTTAAAATAAACAAAAGGAATCCGTCCGACGGGGACACATCAAAGGAAAAACAAAATTGTTATGTTTATTTAATTCCTAGCATTTTCATATTTATCTACCTTTTAAACCTTCTCTAGACTTCCACAAATAATTCAAGACCAAAATTATCCAAATCGGTCCAGCTGTTCTCGAGTTTTAGCGAGACTAACAGCAATTCATTTTTATATATATATACTAGCGACCCGCCCTCGCTTCGCTTCGGAAACATTAAAACACACATGAAACCAAAAAAATAGAATAAAAAATAAATAAATAAAAGTAGCCTGTGTTCATCAGGGACAATGTCGGCTTCTAATGGAAAAAGAATTTTTCAAATCGGTCCAGTAGTTTCGGAGCCTATTCGAAACAAACAAACAAATCTTTCCTCTTTATAATATTAGTATAGATATAGATAGATATACATAATTGGCGTATAAAATATACGATGAGCTGATTGATTTTGTGATCATTTGGTAACAAAGTCCTTAGAAATCATCACGTGTAGTTTACATTTGGGCAACGTGATGAATTAATTGATATAGTCGAAATTTATTAAGAAAAAAGAACATTGATGTCTTAACTTGAATCGAAGATCGTTTGGTGGTTAGAGGCCTTGGCTGCTCTATCACGTTTTCCAGAATCTATTCCTGGAGCTTAGTATCTTTACTAAAGATTAGTATCTCTACTAAAGATGTTTTTGGTTCGGGTTCTGGTTGGACTTGTCTCGTACTCATCAGACAGCAGAGAATTATATTTTATTTTGATGACAACATACGATATATAAAAATAATATATATAAATATTTATGTTGTACTACTTTTTAATTCTGTTTTTTTTTTCAAACTGGAAAGCTTTCTGCTCCAAAGTTGGGTGGGCAATTCAAGTTGCAGCATTTCCGTGTATTCGGCTAAATCGTGTGTAAATGTGTTTCAGTGTTTTGTATTAACTAACTGTGTCGACGTCGCCCTAAACACGTCATTACGGATCCTCCCGATCCATTAACGGTGCTTTTAGATACCACAAGCACCGGTCACCGTCCTCGTCGAACATGTCGCTTGCGATGAAGGGCTGGACGAGTGAATTAACCCATAGACACAGCCCACTGAGTTTCTCGCCAGATCTTCTCTGTGGGTGGGTCGCGTTTCCGATCTGATGGTAGATTCCGCGAAGCACTGCTCTTGCTAGGGTCAGTGTTAGCAACACTCCGGTTTGAGCCCCGTGAGCTCACCTACACGTCAAGGAGAAGCTGAAATAGCCTCTCAAGGCTATCAGCATAGGTAGGAGAAAAAAAAAACTAACTGTACTGTATACAATCATCCAAGAAGCCCTCACAACATTTTTTTCCCGTAAATATAAAGTAAAAAGAGCAATAATAATTCGTGAATATTGGTTAAAATACCGCAATTAATATTTTTAAAGTAAAGTGTTTTTTTTTATAAATGTTATTCGGAGTCATTAGTCATTCGTGCGATCAGTTTCTCGTGCTGTACCTACGACATAGAGGTGATGTCATTTTAATTTACATCTCAAAATTAGAACACAGTCACTTCATTTGCCGTTATTTAGAGTTAGCACGCTATTTTGAATGTATTTACTGACTTAACTAATTTATTAGAATAAAAATCTGGATATAAGATATAATCCATAATTAATTGCCACAATGGTATTGACATGAATAATGTTATGACTTAAATAAATTGTTAATTTAGTTGAGACTCTATAACTGACTCGGAATTTCATCACCAAAATCTATAATGTTTTTCGCTCACTATAAAGTTGGCGCATGAAACAAAAAAAAACCTTGTGAAAAATTATATTAACGTTCACAAAAAGTCACGAAGCGGACGCGTTAAATTAAATTTATTATTATGTCTTCCACGTTTTAATGTTTGAATCTTCCGAAAATATCAAAACTTCGATGTTATGATGTCCTCATTCTTGAACCCAAACATATATGTATGTACACACACATATATAAACCTCATTATGTACGAACGGAGTTTGTAAGCTTAAGTCATAAAGCACAACAAAAGAGCCGCGACATTCTGATCTTGCTCCCGTGTGACGCACGAGAAGCGATTAATAAATTACATACGAGTAGATTCAAGATCTTGGTTCGTAGTTATGGACCGGTATCGTCTGGTTCTAATTAAATACAATGCGTATTTCAATCCAACTGCATAGGACAGAGGTTGTAATGTTTTTTTTTTGCTTCAATAAAATGTTTTTCTATTTTAGACACACCTTCGTTATGTCCTTAATAAAAACGACAAACACTTATCGTTTATCAAACAGATAAATCATTGAGCTAACACGTTTGTCGCAATGACCCCCTTATACTTATTAATTTTCAATGCTTTATCATTTGTTACCTACTGACATGAAAATGAATTTCGTGATAGCGTTGTTTAATTTGTAGACAACGCGCTAATACACTCGAGTAATCATCTGTTTTCCTCTTGTGCAAATTTGCATATCTCGCTAGTTCTACGCGAACCAGTTCGAGATGGATCGCAACTGTATCGATAGTTGATTTAGGCGCCACCGTCAATCCGGTACAGTGCGATTTTGGACGCTAAATGAGATACGAAACGAACTAAATGCGATTCAAACACTCGAATTCTGCTAATTGAAGGTCGCGCTCCCACGCGTCCCGACGCGATAAATCTTCTAATTATATCCTGGTCTAATTATAACCTGAAAAAATCTGCAGACGCCAATTTGAGTCAGTCTTCTCTCTGTCTAAGTGCATGCTTGCTCTGAGTCAGAGTCTCAAAAAAAATCTAAACTGCTATTCTTTTATTTTCATTACGCTTATCTAAAATATGTATATGAACGCGCGCTTAGTTGAATGATTACGTGAAGTGTTTAAAGAAATGTAAAAGCTCTCGCGTAAATATCAACGATGCTCGNAAATCTGCAGACGCCAATTTGAGTCAGTCTTCTCTCTGTCTAAGTGCATGCTTGCTCTGAGTCAGAGTCTCAAAAAAAATCTAAACTGCTATTCTTTTATTTTCATTACGCTTATCTAAAATATGTATATGAACGCGCGCTTAGTTGAATGATTACGTGAAGTGTTTAAAGAAATGTAAAAGCTCTCGCGTAAATATCAACGATGCTCGTAAGCTGTGCGAACAAAGTCCACAATGCTAATCTTAACATCAAATAGAAAACTGTTGTCGTAATAATATAAAAGGGGTGGCCCAATTATTTATTGCTATCCGCATTCTCGTTGTCTATTACCTATCATAAAAATCTTAATTTAGCTCTGTGTGATTGGCTTTTTGCTGTATCAATTAAAAATCATGTCCGTTACAGTTTTCACAAGACGTTGTGCAAAACATTAAAGAGTGTTGATGTGTTGATCAAAACAACGCAACAGAAATACTCCATCGTGGAATTTAACACTGAGTAACGGGTGTTATTATGAACGGCGTCTTTGTCTTTATCGAGAAATATAAATTCAATTGGATTCGAAATTGGCACCAGCACGTATCTAGAGTTGCCCGAAATAACACCCTTCTTGGCTTTGTTCTGATGTGGTCGATATTAGAATCTTAATAGCTACATGTTTTCCTCCTAAAAGGGCTTATATGAAAATGTAGCCAATGCTCTTGAGAACACTTGCAACTATCTTTAGTCATTTAAAACTCTTTTACATGATCGTACCTGAATACGTTTTTTGTACATATAAAACTTGAAATATCATGTATAATTAAAATTAAAGTGTTTAAAGTTAAAAACGCTTTATCAAAAGTGCAAAACAAATTAATAGTAAACAAGAGCCGGGAAGATATCGATGTAGGTTGCGTCGCTGAGTTCAGGGTGCACGGACGATACGCGTGGCGGTGACGTGTCGAGTGCTCACCACCATTTTAAATAGGACGTGCACGCGAGGCAGACCATCAGTCGCCCGGTTGGACGCGCCGTCGCAACTACTTGTTATATACCACGACAATTACTAGTTGCTAGTTATCGGCATTCGCGACTTAGCTGTCGTCGGATACGCTCATACGTTCAGTGACCCTGAAATATTAGTGCACCGCTCGAATATGATTGACGTCGTGCAAAAACCTAGAGATGCCTGCCTCTACGAAATCAGACAGAGGGGACAAAAGGAACCCTGTTACGTGGTCGTGCCTAATCCAAAAGTACGTTTCGAATTTTGGGAAATAAAGTTATAATGAATTGAATAAAAAACACGTTTTATCAGTTTTTGTGAAGGCCAGTTCAATAAATTAATTAATTTCGGTCGTTTTATCGTATTTAGCCGTAAGATACTATTTTAATCCAACCGGTTTATAAGTGCGTTGTTTTTTTTTGTTGTTGTTGTGTTTGTTCATTTTAGCACACTAGTTTTTTTTTTCAACATCGTTATCATTCGAATTTTACAAGTGAGTTTTTGTGTTGTTTCAGGATCTGGTTAAGAGCCACTTGATGTTCGCGGTGCGCGAAGAAGTCGAGGTACTGAAGGAGCGCATCGCCGAACTGATGGAAAGGATCACCCAGTTGGAAGTGGAGAACACGTATTTGCGTGCGCACGCGAGTCAGGATACGCTAGCGCAGTTGCCCGCGGCCCAGGGCAACAAGCCCGCCGCGCAGCCGCAACCCCCGGTGTCGTAAAATAGCGGACAGTCGCCGCTGAGCCCGCCCGCTGGCCCCAGGCCGCCCCAGCCCTCGCCCCTTTCGCCCGGGGCTCACCATGGCTGTGCTATGTTAATTCGTAGGTTAACAAGAACCAGAGCGCAACGGACGATCGCCGAGGATGGTTCCTCGATACCGTCCCTCACTAGACATATCGTAGGACGGTACGCGCGCACGATTAAGCTTCAAAATACAATACATACATTTATTTTCTGTTTTAGTCATATTTAGGGTGCAGAATTTCGTGCTAAACTGCCATGCTTTAGCTACGCGTCTCAGCAACGACTCTTTAGTAGCGTTACGATGTTATTTGCTGTTCGTTTAATAAAATTAGATGTCGCTATCCGCGCATCATGTATTCCAATTAAGGTAAACGATAAGACGGTGTGTTATAAATAAATGTATTGAAATAGTTGATACGCATCAAACAAGGACTGTGTGTGTTTATTTATTATTTGGTATATATTCTTTTATAAATGCCTAATGTTTAAGTTGTCGCGATTTGAGTATACTGTGTTATTATGTTTAAATCATACACGTATCGTAACCTCTTGAGGTCGGTAACAATGATCTGTAATGTGTTTACTGAATGATTACTTGGTTCGTGTTAAGTTTTTTATTATTATTATTATTTTTAAAGTATTGTGAGCGTTCGTATGAATCGTCGTATGTTGTAAAGTTTGTACGAAACACTTTAGATTAGAAACGTTGCGAGCACGACGCCTCGTCTGGTTAGCTGGCTTTAGTCAATTTTGCACGCCCTAACAGAAGAAAAAAAAAACTCAAAAAAAAACAAAAATATTTTTATTCCAAACCTATATCAATAGTAGAGATTTTATAGAGATATATTGAAATTTGTATTTTAAAATGATTAAATTGTTTGTATATAGTACAAGTTGTAATTGAATTGTGAGTCGTAATTGATGTACATATATAAAAATAAATAAAAGAATGCTATGTTTATGGAACCGTAATTTGCCTTCCGAGGATCGAATCCCTTATTAATTGAGATGTTTAAAACTAAACTTATAAGTGAAACTGTACGCTGTATTTAGATTAGCTTCATTGTTCAGCCAACAGAACAAAACAGGGTTGGACCGGACAGCCAGCTGATGTTTGATACTGAAGTTTTAAAACCGTCTTAGAATGCTTTTGCCGGTCTATCCGTACATCTAATGTATTTAGAAGTAGAGTTTTGTACAAGCCCTATCTACTATCAAGTGTATAGATTTCGTTTTAGTTATTCGTGATTATTGTGAATATACAGTAATTTTATTCGTAACAAAAAAAAAGAATTAAATATGTAATATTAAATTAGTTTAGAAAATAAATTGAATTATATTAATGATACTGAAATTTGTAAATATAATGTAAACAGAAGTCCATTGTAGCTTATGTTGACAAGAAAGGTTCCTCGTATCCAATAAATGCAAAACTACTCAAATTATTTGTTTGTTTTGAACTTATTCCATCTTTTAAGTAAGAAATTGCCTTAATCGAATTTTATACCCAATTCGAGGTAGCTGAAAAATTATATTTAATTAAATTAAGAAATTAACAGATGGCAATAAAATATCAATTTTATTAATGAATTCGATCATGAAATAAAAATCTAACTTAACAATTATTCTGCCTATTTCTGCGATGATACAATACAATTCAGATAAACTTCAAAGCTGACACTGGATGGTGGCAATGACGTTGTGACGGCAAGGGGATCCGGCAACCTCCTAATACCAAGTGGGTTGTGAGCTTTTCTACATGTTTAACACACAAAGCTGGCGGTCAAAGTGAAAGCGCAACGAAAAATAGAGAATTTGGTTTTTAAACTATACATAACAATTAAGTCGCAATGAATACTAAATTATATAGTAATCAACTTGTAGCTTCAAGGCAAGTAGTTTGAAGAAAGCCCTTTAAAACTATTTTACGAAGTAATAGTCAGTTTGGAATACAGAGATAAATTATTCATTGAAAGTTTAGAAATATCTTGTTGACTTTGATTCATGGTTTTGATTATTTAGTTGTTATGTCCTAAAATTCAAGTATTTCAAAAGCTGTATCCGCAAAATTATATGTAACATCGCACGTTGTGATCTCTGGCATCTCGAAACTGGTATCAAAAATTAAACCAGTTCTGTGAAACCAGGCTTTTTACGACATATGCAATGAACGATTTATTTAAAAAAAAACGAATCTGATGGAGGTGAAAAGTTATCTTGAAAGAAAATCAAAAACAGTTTCTTTCTAGTTGTTAAACTCTCTAAACAAAATTCAAATGGTAATATTAATATTATTAGTGATAGCCATATAAAATACACCTTGGTAATAAAAAAAAAGTTTATTTGGATAATTAAAGCCAATTAGAAATGCTTTCCTCGTTCCTATAATATTTAAATATATATATATATTATAAATTCCTATAATAAATGAAAACTTAAACTGTATTTTCTATGATGAAAATTGTCAATTGAAAACCAAGGAGCGCCATCTTGTGTAGCAATTTGTTATTACATTTTTGTGCTGCCATCTATTGGGTTTTTAATTTACTATAGTGGCTTAGGTAAAAGAAAATGTTCTTGTCATATAAATTTTAAACCTATGGAGGGTTTACTAAGGAGGCCATTTCAGTCTATTAAAAATTGTCCGCTGAGTGGGAGCCAATTGAGGTGGCGCCATAGTAGTAAGTGGAAAGATTTTAAAAACAGCATCCATGGAGTTAATAAGTATACTAACTCTATGACAGCACCATAAACTTCCACTTCAATCTGCTTAAAACTGCTATATTCATAGCATTTTCATTTTCTACACTATAGCGCTAATTCGGTGAGTCTTCTAACTCGGCGATCGGCTTCTTGTGATACCATTGCTGCCACTGTCGAGATTATAAAAATGGTCAACTATTAGATAAAAAAGAAGTATTGATGCTGCTTCACTAGACACAGAGAGAGAGAATATTGTGCAACAAAATAACCCCAAACGCAGAAAAACACGAAGATTTAAGTTTTTTAAATTGTTTTATTTTGTTGACTTAATGTTTTTTCAAGTTTATGCACAAATGTGTTTTCAGTTTAATTTATCAAATAAATCAACTTTATCTCAATTAAGACCTAATCATTTTTCCAATTGTTAAATATCTAAAAGATTAGTCTGTATGGTGTGATATTTTCGCCTTTCCTGTTGGAAAAATGGAAAGACTGCCACTGTTTCACCACTGGCAGCTTAGGACTTTTTGGCAGGAACGTGAGGGGTGAAGTTGTGTGAATTGTTTTATTTTGTCTTTTTAGTATTTCTTCAGGTTTAAATGTGTAATAAATGTAATAATGGTAGTTTATTAACTGTATAGTATCTGTGAAAGTGTACAGACGTGGGAAAATGAAACAAAGCCGCTGAAAAAGTCTCAGTACATAACCATTAATGAGATTATATTTCATCCCATATCATTTCGTTGATTTCGTCTCTATTGATTAATGTATCAAAATAATAAACTTCATTTTACTTTTCTTTTCATGAAAGAGAATAAAATACACATGCAAAACATTACGCTGTATGGTATGATATCTTTGCCTTTTGACTTGGAAAAATGGAACTACTACTTAGTTGTCAAATGTCATCAAACTCGTCAATATCAATAAACACTGCCAACCATTAAAGTCAATCCAATATAGATTTGAAATTATAGAATAAGTACGCAAGATCAATAATTACCTAATAGAATTATCAAAATAGCGAAAATAAATTTACCTTAGCCTTTTATGCCGTACTCAAAACATGGATACGATGAGTTTAAAAGAAATACAAAGCAAGTTATTGTTGTGGGAATCGTCTGAAAATCCACTTGCGCCACTCAACTCGGACCAGAGGGAAGCGATTTTGGATCTTGAATCTTTGATTTTAGGAGTTAATGATGAGGGTGGAGTAAGTATCCGAAAAAAATAATAATAAAATAATATTCATAGATAGCTACTTCATATTTTACTCACGACTGGACTACAGTTATGCCGAATAGCTACATTAATTTAATATTATAGTTTATTCATATGTGTTACATTTACATTAGGGGCACAGGCTTGTGCCCAGGATAGCCAAAGTTTGAAGAGTGCAAATTGGGGGGGGTAAGCAAAAATCGTATAGGATAAATAAATAAAACTGAGAAGTGTGATTGCACTAAAATTTTTAATAAGAATACTATAAATTCGTATACTTTAAGTATGAAGCACTAAGGTGTGCATTCCTTTGGCACAAAACGTTTTTGTGTTATACTTGTACTTTTTAATGAAAATATGCTTAGGACCTCAACTTGGTGACACTTTTTGTGTGACCTTAAGATAAGGCAGGTCTTGATCATATAAACGAGAGTGGCTTGAAAATAACAAGGATCCCAAAATGTAAAAAAATAAAGACTGATCTATTTCTTTATGTGAAAAAAATATGTGGTAATGGAAACTTTGTGCTATGCACATTACAGGAAAATGGACCAATAGAAAAAGAGACTGTTGACCAAAAATCTATACCATCTGTAGATACAACATATGACTTTTTGGAATGGTATGAGCGACTCTGTGACGATAATATGAAGACTGAAGATGTCCCTTACCAATGCTATTATAAACAATTAGAAGATAGAAGAAATGAATGTATTTCTTTAAACGAACAGGTATGAGCAAGTATAGTCTTGAATTAATTAATGATTAATTTTATTATATTTGAACACAATTTCAAATAATTCGAATAATAAAATTTGGAACAATAACATGGTTAATCCATTAACGAACTCCGTCTCAATTTTGGCAAATTTTTCTTTTCAACAACTGATATTGGAATATCCATTTAATATTTGTATATTTGTGGTGCTGCAGTATTTTAAGTGATAGCTGGTTGCTATCAGTTCTTTTCAGACTTACCAGAACTACTGTAAATACTTGAATGAACATCTACAGTGGGTGGCACTGTAGTGGAATCTTTCTTATCAAATTTGACTAGGCACGCCAAAAATGGAGGTGACTAATGAGTATTGATAGGGGCTCCTCATACACCAGTGTAGGTGGAATAGCCTCTTAGGCTACCAATGAATAGGAGGGTGACATGTTTACTGGCATTTTTCAATTCCTCTCTCAGCAACACAATGGATCTGGTATTTGCACGGTGAATACATGGATCGCTAGGCTATTCGTCTCCGATGAAAAAGTTTGCGCCTCATTTTTGTAGACAGCGTAACCCAAATACATTATTTGAATAAAATTGCACTCCGTAAATCAACCAGCTTGCTTTTACAGATCAACGAGGCGATGTCGGATCTGCATAAACTAACAGAGCAATACAATTTTGTTTCAAATAAAACAAATGCTCTACACAACATGAGTGAGCAGCTACTGGCTGATCAAAATAAACTATCTGGTATAGGTACGTATAATTGTTATAAGTAATAAAAAAAAATTGTGATGGTTGAGAATAACACACAATAACAAGTGATGGTTTTAAAAATATACCAAAGTTTGTTAGCCGACATAAGTTTTTAATGAAAATTAATTTTATGGTATAAGTATGGTAAACTATTCGAAGTGTCAAATATAATAAAATGATAACAGGAAATGTGATATTAACCCGTAAAAGTATTTTTTAATTATTTGTGGTTCAATATCCTGAAGTCGATAAGGGAAATAGTTTCACTTAACATAAACAGAAACTGGTAGTTGTTTGGTAAGTTTATCAATAATGATTGCTTTGCAATATATGCAAAGAAAAAAATTACATATTTACGTGTCATGAAACAAACTACATAGTTCTCGAGAACAGTTTCTGAACCCCTTGTAGATTATTCCCATATTTGTTAGATTATTCCCTTATAAGATCCCATCCCAGCTTAAGATTAGTCCCATAACTTTGTCATTTGCTTAGTATGTACAAACCTACGTCGTTATTGCCTGTATATATGTTTATGCATATAATGTATTTGGTATTATATACTCATAAATATAATTAAAAAAGATAATTAAAATAGAATAATTATATAATTATTAAACTTTCCAAATCAGGAGACGATATAAAAAAAAGGCTTCATTATTTCACGCAAGTGGAGCATTTGTCGCAACGCCTCAACAGCCCAACTATGTCGGTCAATAGTGACGCATTCTTTAATGTACTGGCAAAGATCGACGAGTGCTTGGATTATATGAGAGAGAACGTAAGTAAAACTTCACAATCTATACTAATATATAAATCTATAGTGGTTTTTTATGGATGTTCCGTTATAACTACTGAACCATGACTTGAAACTTGGTATCCATGTAGAAAATACATGTACTTAATGGATAGGCTAATATTTATATGAATGTTGGACTCCCTAATAATAATGACAATAAATAATAATGTTAATTTTAAATGCCCAGCGAGGCGGGTGAGTACGGCTAGTACATTATAAAATGATAATGATTATTTAATAACAACACTTATCAATTAGTAATAAACATAACTTATTTTTAAACCAAATATTCCCCAATATTTTGATTAAAAAAATACAGTGTTATCGACATTGTTAAGGTTTTTTGACTAACCACTTCCTCGCAAGTTTTGGTTCTTTTGGAAGGCGAATACCCAGCTCTTTTAATATTATTTATTTGTTCTGATTAATAAATAATCTATCTATCTCTTAGGTTTATGGCGTTTCCTTTTAGATTTCGCCAATGTCAAGTGTATTTAATACTCTGCTTTCTATAGCGGGCTTCGTGAACAAGCAAGGTCACAGATATTCACTAAGAATTAAGTGAGTAGCTAAGAATGTTTGATGACAGGATCTCTGTTGATTTACCTAAAACAATATATATACAATATACATACAACATATATATACAGGGGTTAGTTCGATAACAGACAGACAAACTACAGCTTAATATTATTATGGTTAATGAATGAATAAGAATATAAATGAAAGGGGAGTTGACAAGGGAAAGAAGAGATTTGAGATCAATGGGGCGAGGAATATCAGGAGGAAGAAGATCATAGAGGGAGGAAGATAGACGAGGACAACTGAAAAACATAAATAATGATATAAAATTAGATAAAGTAATCTGTCAGTCGTATGTCATTTACGACTTTGTGAATTGCTAGAGATTGTCAGATCTTAATTAAAATTTGACGTCACAATTTGTGAAATGGACATTATTTCGTGTGATAAAAAAAGAGACGATTATAACAGGCTTAGAAAACGTTTCGACTATGGGTCTGCAAACTGCTAAGACCACACCTCGTCTTTAATTAATTTAAATAAATAAATTAAATTAAATAAATTAATTATTTCTGTTTCGATTGTTTAATATGTGTTTGTTCGTCACAATGGAAAGCTGAAAATCTATGCGTAGAACTGCTTTATATTATGTAAATAAAATTTTATTAATATTGACTTTTCATACCTTCTTAATAAGATACACGAGTATTTAACGCAAAATCAAATGCTACATTGAAACGAAACAAAATCTATAAATTAATATATTTACTGGTGGTAGGACCTCTTGTGAGTCCGCACGGGTAGGTACCACCGCCCCGCCTATTTCAGCCGTGAAGCAGTAATGCGTTTCGGTTTGAAGGGCGGGGTAGCCGTTGTTACAATTGACCCTTAGAATATGTCTTAAGGTGGGTGGCGGCATTTACGTTGTAGATGTCAATGGGCTCCGGTAACCCCTCAACACCAGGTGGGCCGTGAGCTCGTCCACCCGTCTAAGCAATGAAAAAAATATCTGATTGCTTACAGAGCAACTACAAAGAGTCCCACACGTATCTAGTGAAGTATCGTCATCTGCAAAATCGTGCGATTTCCGTGATACGTTCGTACGTGAACCACGTGTTGGACCACGCGACGGAGCAGGTGCTGGGGCCGCAGGAGGACGCCGGCTCCGAGGAGGAAGAATACGTGGACACAGCTTACGCGGTCTTCTTCGGGAAGTTTCAAGCTGCCGCCCCGAAGTTAAGGAAAGTCATAGGGGAAATCGAACAGCGAGCCGAAACGAATTCTGAGTGCGTATTTTACAGAGTTAAGTTTTTTTTTTTTTTTTGTAGGTTTCCGTATGTTTTGACTACTATTAAAAAAATTAATAAATAATTTTATCTTGCTTTAAAAGACAGATAATGTAACAGGTTAAAAACTAAAAAATAAATGTTGCAAAGACGATTATTATTAAAAAAATTTATTATAATATGTTAAATCTTTAAAACACTCTCCTGTAAAATTTAGAAGTTTTGAGATTATACAGTTGTAATCCGAGAAGACGATATGTGACCAGCCCACTGCCGCTTCAGCTTAGTGAGGCCCTTCTTTCTTTCTGATCGTTCCCTCAATGCTGAGGATCGTGACTGTATGTCAATCTTCTCCACTCGGTCCGGTTCTGCCCCATATGTGTCGCTCCTTGTATCTGGTCTCCAGTTACCTCCTTGAGTTGGTCCACCCATCTAGCTGGCGCTCTTCCTCTAGCGCGCTTCCCCTCCATTTGTCCGAGAATGATGAGTTTCTCCAGGCTGTGCAATGGAGATCGCATTATGTGCCCAAAGAAACTCCGGATCCTTTCCTGGCACGTAGTCAGCAGGCGCTTGGTGACCTTCAGCTCTTCGAGGATGGAGACATTGTTTCTCATAGCTGTCCAAGGAATGCGAATGTGAGGCCCTACCACCAGTAAAAAATAGGTAGGAAAAAATATAAATGTAATGTTTGTCAGCTACGCGTCGCTGCTGTCGGACATGGAGCGCGAGTACGCGTCGCGGCGGCGGCGGGTGGCGGGCGGCGCGGTGGGGGGCGCGGTGGGCGGCGCGGCGCGGCGGCTGGCGCGGGACAGCTGCGCCCTGCTGCGCGCGTGCTGCTCGCTGCTCGCGCACGCCTGCCGCGACGAGTGCGCGCTCTACCATCACTTCTTCACGCAGTCCTCACAGGCTCTCGAGTAAGTTTAAGTAATTATAAAAATATTAATTTTAAGTTCTATTCGAGGTATAAAGAAATTAATTATTCGGGTATACATTTTTATTATGATTTTTTTATGCCAAAAAAAACTACTTTACAAAGTTATCAACTTTATTTTATTCACAATGATTAATAAAAATTATATAATAATAATATACAAAGAAACAGCTATTTATACGAATAATAATAATAATTGTCATCGCGTAGACTATACATTAGACACTGTATAGCCATCATACTAAGACACAAATAATAAAAGTCTTACGTTACGGACGTTTTTTACCGGTTAGGGTACCCCTCCGCATAGTCCCATAAGGAACTTCGTTCCAAAAAATCATACGCGTCTACCTGGACTAATGGGAAATAAGGGCATAGACCAGTGTTTCCCAACCTTTTTTGTGCCATGCGTCAACGTAACATTTAAAAAATTTTAATCCTCCCATACATAAATTTTAATATTAAAACATTGCTTTGTTCACTTAATTAACGTAAATGATAGGTTTTAGGAAGAAATCACCATTAAATTGTTATCAAAACACATTAAGTAATATTTCAAAACATATAATAAAAATTGAAATTCAAATTCAAAATAATTTTAATACAGATTTTCTATATTAATTTAGTGCGATTGCCCCCCTTAATTGTCAAATTGCCCCCTTATGGGGCGTGGGCCCCACGTTGGGAAACACCGGCTTAGACGGAGGGTTGGACAAATTTTATATTTTTAATTTAGATTTATGTTCTTATAATTTCAATTTAACTAAACTAAAGTTAATTATTAATCAAAGACGTCTCATTGTTCGTTTTGTCTGCATCGTTCGCAGAGAATACCTGCAGTCCCTCTGCAACGGCTTATACGAAACTCTACGGCCGCACATCATCCACATCAACCATTTGGAAACGCTTGCCGAATTGTGTGTCATACTGCGGATCGAAGTTATCGAGGAACAAGTCAACAACGACCGTAAGTCAACGTACTGAGCAGTTTACTACGTGCAACCTAATCTAAACATTAGCCCGTTGAGTTTCTCGCCGGATCTTCTCAGCGGGTTGCGATTCCATAGTACTAGATTCATTCGCGAAGCAGCTGCTCTTGAGTTGTTAGGCCTCCTTTGGAGGCGCCGGTCATCGTTCTCGTCGAACCCGTCGCTTGCGACGAAGGGCTCGGCGAGTAAACTAACCCACAGACACAGCCCACTGAGTTTCTCGCCGGATCTTCTCAGTGGGTCGCGTTTCCGATCCGGTGGTAGATCTCGCGAAGCACGGCTCTTGGTAGGGTTCGTGTTAGCAACTTTGTCAGGTTTGAGCCCCGTGAACTCAAATGTACATGTTAAGGTGAAGCTGAAATAGCCTCTCAAGGCTATCATCAGCATAGGTAGGAAAAAAAATTATTGGGAGGCGCTCGGGCAGCTGTTAGCAAATCCCACCTCTCCTGGCTGAGCCTTTGCTCGTCCACCTGTCCTGCTGAAACTGGAAAGGCCTCCGGTCCACCAATAATTCCTCAATGACGAACAGAATGGCTTATGAAGAGACTAGTATGTTGTTCGGTTCGCAAATGTGGGTATTCGTTAGCGGCGGATGGTTGTGAGCCCGCAATGGTCAGCGTACTACGTTACAGCGAATACCCCCGCCGGGGCGCGGTAGTGGGGCGAGGCAAATGTTATACCTAATAAAATTGCCTCATGTATTTAAACGGACTGCGTTGAATCTGTGCTTATATATTATATATAGATAGTGTGTATTATGTAGGGTGATAATGATAAAACACACAACAGCTTGCGACCTGTCTATTGTGCGATGACTCGACACAGACTAAACTAAACCCGCTACAGATCGGACTTAGCTGCTAATGGAATAGTATTAACTGCAATTTGAAAAAAAAAAACTTAAGTTTACAATAAGTTTTGAATAATTGAAAACTTTCATTCGTTTTGTGATTTATAGTCCACGGAGGGCACTGAAGTATTGTTTGAGACGGTCTGGTCAATTTTAGAGTACATACTTAGTTCTTGATTCCTACAATTTAATCTGTGTTTATGTGTATTTTCTGAGCGGTTTGTCATTTCGTTATTCAATTGAAAAAACCGTCTTCATTCGGAGGCAGCGGTTTGGCTGTTTCCTGATATAATTGATGTCCATGAACAGCAGCGATTTCTGACCATCAAATTTTTATTTATTTTTATTGCCCTTGTAGGCAGACGAGCATACTGCCTACCTGATGGTGAGAGAGGTTATCGTCGCCCATGGACTTCACCAATGCCAGGGGCAGAGCCAAGCCGTAAACCCGTGGGCACCTCTGAAGGCAATAGGAGACTCAATCTATATAGTCTGTGTGGGTGACAAAATTTTGCCGCACTAAAAAATTTGCCGCCCTGGGCACTTGCCCCGACTGCCCCTAGTGTAAATCCACCGCTGATTATAAATATCAACCTAAGACGACTATAGTCTGTGTGTGGTGTCGGCAGCGGTGAGTCTGCGCGCGCTGGGCATGTGCGCGGGCGCGCTGCTGCAGGACGCGGCGGAGCGGCTGGTGTTCCGCGCGCACGTGCACCTCCGCGCTGACGTGCTGCTGTACCGCCCCGCGCCCGGCGACCTCGCCTACCCCAACAAGCTGCTCATGATGGAGGTACGCCGCTCCCAGCCTCTACTATTTTTTTTAATGCTTATATGGGTGAACGAGCTCACAGCCCACCTGGTGTTAAGTGCTTATTGGAGCCCATAGACATCTACAACACAAATGCACCACCCACCTTGAGATATAAGTTCTAAGGTCTCAAGTATAGTTACAACGGCTGCCCCACACTTCAAACCGAAACGCATTACTGCTTCACGTCAGAAATAGGCAGGGTGGTGGGTATCAGTAAAAAGTGCCTCTTAGGACAGACTATAGACAGCTAACATTTATGAATACTAGTGGTACTCGCCCGGTAGTCGAAATTCGACTATTTTTTTCTTTTTCGAAAGCAAAAACTTTATACCCCTTTTTACGAAAATTGCGCGGTCGGAGGAGTATCAAATTTCCCACACTTATAGAGAATTTAGAGAAGAAGTGCACAATGCTAATATTTTTTTTAAATAATGCATAAAAGATACATTAAATCAATAAAGAAAACATTACATACGCTACCATGTATTTGACACACACACATATACTCTTTGTTTATTGTCAAACTTTTGTTATTGCTTAAAGTCTGTAGTCATATTGAGAATAGGTTAGTATTGTTTATCTTTAATATTACGAGTATTTGTCTATAGTGTAGTCTTGGCGAAATCTGTAACAATAGGACCACAATAATGTTGAAACTTATAATTTCAATTAACTATAGTCGAATTTCGACTACTGTGGGACCAATAGTATTTCTGATGTTCCTTCTTCTGATGTTTCAATATTCAAAATTCCATTTATGTCATCTTTATAACATATTATTAACCTCTTTTAAGATAAATCGTATAGAGGTTACATATATATATTTGTATCGTCTTACAGCAAATCGCGCTCTCCATTCAAGAGCAGAGCCTGAAGCGGAGCGACTCGCGCAACTCCATGGTGTCTGACGTGTCGGCCACGTCGCAAGAGGTCGCCAACATCAACGTTGAGGCGCAGCGCCGACCTCACGCGTCCCCGGCCGACCTGCACGGCATGTGGTACCCCACCGTCCGGAGAACCCTGGCCGCCTTGTCGCGCCTGTACAGGTGCTTGGAGAAGAGAGTCTTCCAGGGTCTCGCTCAAGAAGCCATCTCGCTGTGCGTCCAGAGCGTGGATACCGCGGCCAGACTAATAACGGCAAACGCGACCAGCGTCGACGGCGAACTGTTTCAAATAAAACACTTGCTGATCTTGAGGGAGCAGATCGCGCCGTTTCAAGTCGACTTCGTGATCAAAGAGACGACCTTGGACTTTAGTAACGTCAAAAACGCAGCCTACGGCCTCATACAGAAGCCAAGGCAGATATTCTCGCTCAGCTCTAACAACGCGCTGCTGGAGTTCCTCCTGGAGGGGACGCCGATGGTCCGGGAACATCTGCTAGACTCGAGGAAGGAGGTGGACAGACAGCTGAAGAGCTGCTGTGAAACGTTCATCAAGAACGCGACGGAGCTGCTGGCCGGGCCCATGGCCGTCTTCACTGAAAAGGTATGTCGCACAACATTCCATCCAATCCACATTTCCAAGTCGTTGTGGCCTAAAGGGTGCACCGGTATTCGAATTTCAGGCGGGTACCAATTTTTCTAATGAAATACGTACTCAACAAATGTTCACGATTGACTTCCACGGTGAAGGAATAACATCGTGTCATAAAAATCAAACCCGCAAAATTATAATTTGCGTAATTACTGGTGGACTCTTGTGAGTCCGCGCGGGTAGGTACCACCGCCCTGCCTATTTCTGCCGTGAAGCAGTAATGCGTTTCGGTTTGAAGGGTGGAGCAGCCGTTGTAACTTTGCTTGAGACCTTAGAAATTATATCTCAAGGTGGGTGGCGCATTTACGTTGTACATGTCTATGGGCTCCAGTAACCACTTAACACCAGGTGGACTATGAGCTCGTCTACCCATCTAAGCAATAAAAAAAAAAACATTCCATCCAACCAGTGTTCGCTAAACGACCGAAATTCGACCATACTCACAGATACACCAAGGCTTAAATCAGATTGCGAAATCTATTAGCTCTTTCAGAGCTAATATCATCCGCTTAACATCTAACAACAAGCTTACCTGTCTGTTACCAGAAATAAATAATGTTAACCTCGTTTTAGAACTATTTCTAGTTTATGAATGAAATGGATTCTCTTGATTCTCCATGATGAGAAATGTTCCTTGTTCATTTTTATTCTAAGTTGTAAATTTAATTTATTTAATTTAATTTGTATGTTTAAGTAATATCACCTTCCCACTACACCTACCAAGCTTCATCTCTGCACTCCCCTAAGGTAGACTGTTAGAGAATGCCTATGGCATTAAGTCCGCCTTTATACTTTCTAGTATAAGAAGTTATAAATAAATAAATAAATAAATTACTTGTGTTCGCGTATTATTTCTCAAATAATGTTAACATTCGGAACAGTTGTTTTGTACATCACGATAGATTCCAGCAAAGCGCCATAAATCCCCGATAGGTGGCGCGCGAGTAGTTGCAACGAAGAATCCCTTAACATTATAAAATCAAACTATCTAATTTATTAACAACTAGCTTTTGCCCACGACTTCGTCCGCGTGGAATAGTTACTTTGGCATAACGCTAAATTTTATCCGCCTTTTTAATTTACGTACATAACTTAACTTAAACTTTAATCGTTCCCGCAGCGCACGCAGTGGAACTTTCACTCATCTAAGCAATAAAAAAAAAAAAAAGGGATTAAAACCCCGATTTTGAAACATTCTTTATTGGTGCTCCGCTTGTATTGGTCTTAGCGTGATGTTATATAGCTAATAGCCTTCCTCGATAAATGGACTATCTAACACTGAAAGATTATTTCAAATCGGACTAGTAGTTCCTGAGATTAGCGCGTAACAAACAAACTCTTCAGCTTTATAATATTAGTATAGATTCCAAAAATAAGCTATCATTTTTTTTTTTTTTGTTTTTTTCAGGCTCAAACCTTCACACCGATAGACCAGTTAAAGTCTGAGCCCTGGGCGACGCCTGAACAACTAGCGGTTGTCGTTAAAGAAGTACAAAAGCGTATAAAAGCTCACCTCGCTCCGTTGCAGCGCTCGATGCAGCTGTACTTAGCCAATAAGGAAACTGAATTTATCTTGTTCAAGCCGATTAGGGTTAGTAAGAATTGTTTAAATTTAACACTGTCTGCTTGATATAGTTACTGGAGGCTATGTTTGAGTGGCAATGAATGCTCCCCCTTCGAACGCGGAAATAGACTGGTGGTAGGACGTCTTGTAAGTCCGCACGGGTAGGTACCACCACCCTGCCTATTTCTGCCGTGAAGCAGTAATGCGTTTCGGTTTGAAGGGTGAGGCAGCCGTTGTACTGTAACTCAGACCTTAGTACTCATATCTTAAGGTAAGTAACGGCATTTATGCTGTAGATATCTATGGGCTCCGGTAACCACTTAACATCAAGCGGGCCGTGAGCTCGTTCACAAACCTAAAAAAAAGGAAAGGTAGTGAAATTAAACGGTACCAGCTAGATAAGTAAATTCTTACTATGCAATATTATGCAATAATTCAAATAAATTTCGGGCGTAAAGTTTTCTAATTGCTATTTACAGAATAACGTTGTCGGCTACTTCGTCCAAATAGAACAACTTCTGGTGAACGCTGGCTACTCGTACGAGGATACTCTGATTGTCGCGTGTCCCACTCCTGAGCAAATATCAGTTTTTATATCTTCTGCTAGCCTTATAAGCCACAGTGAGCCAGTNATTATGCAATAATTCAAATAAATTTCGGGCGTAAAGTTTTCTAATTGCTATTTACAGAATAACGTTGTCGGCTACTTCGTCCAAATAGAACAACTTCTGGTGAACGCTGGCTACTCGTACGAGGATACTCTGATTGTCGCGTGTCCCACTCCTGAGCAAATATCAGTTTTTATATCTTCTGCTAGCCTTATAAGCCACAGTGAGCCAGTGTTGCCATACGGCACTAAGGCGAAGCCAAGTGTGGTCCGTAAACCGAGTGTTACCAGCGTACCGGAGAAACTAGAAGAAAAGGCGACGGCGGAGACGGTTTAACACTTATGTCGCTTAATCATATTATTTTTTGTAATAAATGATACGGACCCGAGGGTCGTCGTTTTCCTCCTACGATATAAATAGTTAGTTATGCTTCATAACATTTAATATATCTTTAATTGTTTTTTTTTTGAAGAAGTTGTTCGATGCCAGAAAATTCTTTAAGAAGCATGCTCGCTTCTAAATACTTTATTATGTTTTATATTTGTGAGATATATTGTTATGTTTAAATAATACAACAAATAAAAAAAAATGTTTTTTTTTTATTTGTGTTGTCCTCTAACATCTACACTAAAAAAGTTAAAAGCACACTATTGGAAACCACGATGGAAAGATGTTACCCCGCATCGGCAATGTCAGGAACCATGTCTTTAACATTTTAAATGACAATTTAATCTATTCATATATTTTGAAATTGTAGAATTATTACAGGGAAATGATAATGAATGATAATTCCATGCATTGTATTGCATTTACATCTGTATTTCCATGTGTAGTTTCAGTAGGTAGGATTGAATGAATATTATATTTGATTATGAATATAAAATACAAACTTGCCTCTGATACCAACATTAAATTCAATATCAATTCAATAGTAAAAAATACTTGTATCTCATTTTACTTTCATTTAGCACTCTAGATTGTATTATTCTAGGTAGGAACTGCTTACTTGGGCGCATAGAAATCACAAAATTACATGAAATGTAGTAATCTGAGATGGAAGTCTCAATTTATGTTGCATCATATGCACCCTACTGTCTCAAAGCAAACACATCCATTAGTCCATTTTCCAACTATACATATACTACTTCATTCAATTAATACCTTTATAGAAGGTTTGAAGTCGTCGTGGCCTAAAGGAAGCCTAAGACGTTCGGTGCATTCGTGTTGAAGCGATGCAACGGTGTTCGAATCCCGCAGGTGGGTACCAATTTTTCTAATGAAATACGTACTCAACAAATGTTCACGATTTACTTCCACGGTGAAGGAATAACATCGTCTAATAAAAATCAAACCCGCAAAATTATAATAGTTACTGGTGGTAGGACCACTTGTGAGTCCGCGCGGATAGGTACCACCGCCCTGCCTATTTCTGCCGTGAAGCAGTAATGCGTTTCGGTTTGAAGGGTGGGGCAGCCGTTGTAACTATACTGAGACCTTAGAACTTGTATCTCAAGGTGGGTGGCGCTTCTACGTTGTAGATGTCTATGGGCTCCAGTAACCACTTAACACCAGGTGGGCTGTGAGCTCGTCCACACATCTAAGCAATAAAAAATAAATAAATAAAAGGAGACATGTGTTTGAACAGTTTAATCTCGCATTTGTTAATTTTATTAAATTATTTCTGATTAATTTTTGAGAGTTAAATACTGTGTTAGGATAATATTCAAATATCAATGAATAACCCCTTAGTCACTAGTGACCACAAAACTTAAGTATTCAAAAAATAATAAGCTCACACAAAGACTACAGAAAATACTTTTAGAACTATTGTTTTCTAATATAAAAGTGGGTTTTATAAACAAATAAAAAATAAAAAAACAAAGTTTTTATTATGTACAACATTCTATTTACTTACTTTCTATAATAAATACAATATTACCATAGAAATCTCGTTTTATTTCAATAAAACAACAGACACTCGGAGACTTATTGTGTTTATTGATCTTAACTGATTTTTTAAATTAACTTCTAAACATTGACTCTCTTTTTAAGCCCTGACCCAGTACATTCCACCACGAATCCTAGTGTAGTCAGGAAGACCTTCAGTAGGTCCAACGGCAGCTACAGCCGGACAACGGTCAAATAAGTATTTGTAGCAAACATCACGTACATTCTGTACAGTAACAGATTCAATACGAGCATCAAGTTCATGGATGGGGATGCGTCTGTTGTAGCAGAGCATTTGACGACCAATATCTTCACAGACAGGAGTGGTTCCATCAAGTTGCAAAAGCATGTTGGTCTTGAGTAAGTTCTTAGCACGCTCAACTTCACCTTCAGTTACAGATGTACAGAGTTTCATCCATTCCTTCTGGATGTTATATAACATATCGTCAAGTTGTAGACTCTCAGCTACAAAGTAAATGCCCCATAGACCAGTGTCTTTATAACAAGTGTTGAAGGACTGGAAACTGTGGCAGAGGTTGCCCACTGAGGCAGCACGCGCTAGGTATGAAGCATTATTGGCACCACCACCTTGAGAGCGGTCCCAGGCACCAATAAGAGTGTTGGCAACCATCAAAGGAATGTTGTCAGCATCAGTCCAACCAGCTCCCTCAACAGCTATAGCTACATGAGCTAGCGGCATTGAATCATCACGGACCCTGATCTCTGATCCAGTATATCTGCAGGGTGTCAGCTCAACATCACATGCTGAGTTCTTTAATCCACTAAAATGCTTACTGGCCAGATCTACTAACCTTTCATGTTCAACTCCACCAGCTCCAGACAAAACAATACGTCCAGGTTGATAGTGGTTCCTAATGTAGCTCTGTAGGTCAGCCTTAGAGATTTTCTTAATATTTTTGGTAGGTCCAAGAATCGTTTGACCCAATGGGGTACCTTGGAATGCTGTTGCGTGAAGGTGATCAAACACAACCTCCTGAAGGTTACTTTCGACATCTTGCATTTCGCGAAGAATGACACCGCGTTCTCGTTCGATTTCGGGTTCGGCGAGGGAGGAATTCTGTATGATATCAGCAAGGATCTCTACTGCTACGGGAACGTCATTAGCGAGGCATTTTGCGTAAAAAACTGTTTGTTCCCGGGAGGTGTAAGCGTTCAAGTGTGCACCCATGTTTTCTACCAGTAGTTCTAAGTCCGTCTGCGATCTTTTACTGGTACCTTTAAAAGCCATGTGTTCAAGGAAATGAGCGACACCATTGTTTTTGGAGGTTTCATAGCGGGAGCCAGCGTCGATCCAGAGTCCTACAGTGGCAGTGGCGGCTCCCGAATCTTCAGTAGCAATACGCAAACCATTATCGAGTACTGTGAGTTTAGTCGGTGGAACATTTACTAATGCCTGTTTGTATGCAGCTGCGGTTGCTAACGTACGTACCTGATTGCCCTGGCTGGAAATTACTCTCAAAGTGGTTGCTACTTTCAACATTTTTGTTGTGATCTTTATACTATGAGATAAAATATTTTTTCCTTGCCGATTTACGTAATGAATGGGCAATAGCTCTTCACAGCTGTCAAAAGCAACGGAGAAAACGTCAGTGTTGCTAGTTAGCTGCAAAGAATCTTCCATACCGTACAATGGGGTAAATAGGGACAAAATCGACCTTCAGATTGAATTTTAAAATAGTTCCAATTAAATAGTCACTGCTCAACCAAAGAAATAAGTTGAGTCTTGAACGTACCTAGGTGATAAAAACCGTTACATAATTTTAATTATTCATTTTAAAGAAATAATCGGTAAAATAATGGCCGTCCCAATTTACCCANGGCATTCACATTGATGAGCTTTGGGGTCAACTTAATAGCTGTTGCCATTTTTTAAATTCTCCTTTCGGTGTTACATAGCCTAGATTATAGGAGTAACAGTCTTATTGCTGATAGGACGTATTATAGGCCCGCAGGGGTAGGTAATGCTATTCTTTCTATTTCTATAACAAACTACTGGAGCACACCGACTAGCCTGTGAGCTAGCCCACCTATGTAGTATTATTTAAAAAAATCGGTTACAAACTTGTTAGCTTCGAATGAAATAAACTAACAGCAAGGAATTAAAAAGAAACTAAATCCAAAATCTAGATTCTAGATGAAAGTTAAATAATGTACTAGACTTCAAGATACTGTCAATATTTCTGTGTGAGAAGATTCTGTCTATTTATCTCTTGGGTTTATGACGAGAGAATCGTAAATATGTATCAAGAAAAAAATTGTATTGAAAATTAGACGGTAGTTAGGACAATTGTCAAATGTCAATGAATAATACTTTAGTCGAAACGTCAGAATAACAAAATAATAAACGCGAGATCTTTTTAAAGTTTAATAGCCTGTTATAAAAGCGAGATTAAGCCATAAAAGTAATTTTAGTTATATCTACTATTAGCGAAACACGAGAAAATATAAAAATATAATACTTATAAGATTATAAAACCACATGTAATCTTCTATCTTCTTCTTCTATCTTCTATCTTGGCTAATTTTGGTCTTGAATTATTTGTGGAAGTCCAGAGAAGGTTTAAAAGGTAGATAAATATGATAATGCTCGGAATTAAATTAAAATAACAATTTTGTTTTTCCTTTGATGTGTCCCCCGTCGGACGGATTCCTTTTGTTTGTTTTAAGTTTATTTTATACAAAAGTTTAGGTCTTTTATTTATCGATTGAGGCACTACGAAGTCTGCCGGGTCAGCTAGTAATGAAAGAAAAAGTATTAAATCATTACTCTACTACAATGAATATATAAACAGAAAAAATATCAATTCCTAACTATTCAAATTAGTCGTAAAACTTGGCCTAAAAGTGGATACCAGGACATAAATTCCCAAAAAAAAAAAATGTTGTATATATTATGTAGGTACATACCTATCTATTTTATTAAATTCTAAAGTCTAAAAGCTAAACTCCATGTGTGAATAGAAAATATTATATAATGTGCATGTACAAAGTTTCGTCTTTTCCCAAATTGATCTGAAAATTATGAACGCATTCATAAGTCTTGTCATTGCATCATCTTCTATGTTTCATTACACGCAGATCAATTAGAAGTTTCGATTTCATTAACAAAATATTCATTAAAAATTATGAAATTGTGTTTAGTAAATTTTTAAATAATTTTATCTTTAATTATAAATTAAAATTAGTTAAATTGAAAAGCTCAACTAAATTTAGATATCTAATGAATTCTCCACCAAACGGTTTTTGCTTGTTAAAATGGGTTTCATGAAAGCAAAACGGAACGACGACATAAAATACTTGAGGAATCATTCATTTTTTATCGCACGTAATTTCGTGAGATTATTACGAGGGCATAATGTTTAGTGAAGAATCTACTATATCTAGTTTCGTTAAAGAATTTTGGGAAAGTGTGTGCCGGTAGATATAGGTGAATATAAGGTCCCCACAAAATGCTTTTACAAATTATATCTGTGATTCAGTAAAATTCGTCATGACTACAATGAAGAACCCAAATCCGTCGTCTTCTAAGCTCGCACTCCTTAGCCACATCAAGTACGAGCACCTGGTAGCTGGTATATCAGGTGGTGTGACATCAACACTCATATTGCACCCTTTGGATTTAATAAAAATTAGATTTGCTGGTGAGTTATGATCGCAATTTTATTTAAACACTGTTGCCATGTGATTTACGGCAATTTTAAGAGGTTAAACGCTTCACAAAAAACTCAGAGATTACTTTCTATGATTTACAAAGTAATAGTTAGTAAAGTAATAATTAAACCTAAAATAAATTATATTCTGTGAATTATATCGACCTTGAACTTCGCGCAGTGAAAGTATCGTAGGGCTTTGTTTACATCGCTGCAGAGCACTTCCTAGTTGATGAAATGACTAGCTGTTCACACTGACTGGTATTTGGCACAAATTTCGAAACATAATGAGATCAAGGCTTAGCACATGATCAAGCATCATAGGAAATTTAATTCGTGTTGTTTATATTTATATAGTATTTGTCACTGTAAGTAATAATTTACTTGAAACAGTAATGAGTGTAATAATATTTCATAAATAGTACATATTAAAAGTCAAATAGTACACTGATATTAAGAAATACAATACAATACCAATAGATGACAGCTTAGTAAAAAACTTTACCTCTATATAGATATATAGTATACAGTATTTAATTAAAACTACTATTGAGGTTTTATTTCATATTTATTATTGTCATTATATTTTATCCCATGTTTTGAATATTTCACAGTTTTAATGGTCATAGATAACCGTAGGTCATGCATGTTCAGTTTTAATTATGTCTACAGTTCACATGAACTGAGAAAAGTACTATGCATTATATAATTTAGCCTTTCTTAATTAAAATTGTAGCATGTTGTAGTTTATTGTTCAGTATATAATTTTGCCATATTGTTAAGGTAATAGGAAAGAAAGAAGAAGTTATCCAAAGCTATCATACAGTCACTTTTGTAGAACTGACTTCCACTGCACAAGTGAAAGTTGACTAGGGTAATCATGTTGTATAGTCTCTGAGAGCTTGTAAATTACACCAATTGATTGATTGGCTAAGTCAAAATTCTTATGAATTTACTGGCAATGCTGTCCTTTACTTTCAGTTATGCATTCTTAATGTATAAGTGCACTAAAAAAGGTTAAAAATTTGCTTAGTTTATTAACTATAATTTTTTTTGTGATGTCAACACTAAGAAATTATTATTAATTGCACTGAATACTATTAGATTATTACTCATTTAAAATACAAATTAATGCCATAGCACATGTAACATTTTTCAAAACACAATACCTTCAATAAAATTAATTAAAGACATATATAAACCATTCTGTATACTTGTCAAAATACTGCAATATTGGATGAAATAATTTATTTATTATCGAAAGGAAAACTTACTCATCCATAAAATGGTATGTTCCATGTTGACTTGGGTTCCAATGTTATTATTGGACTGCTGCCAATGAACTTTTTCTTAAGACAAATATATATATATAGCAAGATGGGAGCTAACTTCAAGGGATCTCTACAGGGATATTGTAAATGAATAACATTATAAATTTTTTGTAAAATGGTTTTGTAGTAAAGTGAAAGTGATTTCTGTCTGTTTTGTTCATAGTGAATGATGGAAGGACGGCCACGGTACCCCGTTATGATGGTCTCAGTAGCGCTTTTGTAACCATAGTCAAGAAAGAAGGTGTTCGTGGCTTATACAGAGGAGTTACACCAAATGTCTGGGGCTCCGGTTCGGCCTGGGGATTCTACTTTCTATTGTAAGTTTAATTTCATTAGCCAATTTAATAACATTGAAATGAATATAGGGTGTATAAAGCAAATTTCCTAGTTTCTAGATGGATATCAGATGACATATAGTCTTTTCGCATTAAAAGTGTACAATTTCAAAAATATTCTAAATTGAGTTAATATGCGGATTTAATTGGTATCACCAGTATTTTTCTCACAAATACTGTCAAAAGACGTAGTTTTTTTTTTTAGTTTACCTAAAGTTTGACTACTATTAACAAAATTAATACATAATTTTATCTTACTTTAAAAGGCTAATGTAATTGGTAAAAATAAAAAAATTATGTTGCAAAGATGATTAATATTAAAAATATCATATGTTAAACCTTTAAAACACTCTCTTGTAAATTAGTAAGTTTTGAGATTATACAGTTTTAATAGAGAAGACGCTATGTTAGAAAAAATAAATCATAAAAATTTCACTTTGCATTTAGACTATTAAATTTGCTGGAGATTGTGGCACTTTGTATAATATAACAGATATATTTGAGGGTAGGTGATCCATGGCAGCTACTGTCTTAGGCTTGAAGCTTCCATAGTGTAAAAAGTATGAAAAAGATTATTAATGGTGAAGTAGACTATTACGCATCATCCTTTCATTAGTAAATTTATTGGTGGCGGGATATGTACTACGTTGGTGCTTACCACCATTCTGTCTTTTTGGCTACAAAGTAATATACAGGTCTAGTTTCAAGGGTAGAATAGCCATTGTACCGATTCAATTGGCACCTTGTTTTTCTGGGTCAAGGATGGCTTTGACGTGGCTTTCGTGTTGTGGAATCTATATGCTCTAATAATCACTTGACATCTAATGGATTGTCAGTTTTTCCAATCTCATTCAAATTAAGCATAGGTATTCTAGAAGTTGTAATGATTTGTAACAAATAGTTGTTTGGTTATGATCCAGGGTTTTATTATTTTGGCTTGCAGTCTGATTTAATAAAAAAATTAACATGAGCAAACTAGATTAACAGGAAATAGCATTCTTGTTCAAAGTAAACACACAATACGAGTTTCAAACGATTGAGAGCTGAATGTCGCCTGCTAATGTCTTCTCGATTGTCCCATTGTTGTGTGGCTTATCAACATGTAAGCTAATATCACCATATCATTAGAAAATTGTTGGAAAAAAACACTATCTTCATTTAATTCCTTCGAAATCGTCGTCAAACTTAATTATTATCTATACATATAAAAAAAATTGGAGTGACTGTTTGTAATATTGAAATAACCGCTTTTTACTACATGCATATGAATATATATACGGTACATATACCAAAATAATATTTTTTACAATTTCTGTCTGTCTGTCTGTCTGTCTGTCTGTCTGTCTATCTGTTTGTTCCGGCTAATCTCTGGAACGGCTGGACCGATTTTGATGAGACTTTCACTAATAGGTAGCTGATGATATAAGGAGTAACTTAGGCTAATTTTTCTAGACTAGCTTCGCCCCGCGGGGTCACCCGCAGTTATTGTCGTACCGCGCGCAACATGGCGGGCTTCGCCTATCAATAATAAAATTTAATGTTTCCGAAGCGAAGCGAAGGCGAGTCGCTAGTAAATAAATAAAAAACGTTATTGATAATTTTGTGGGTTAAAAAGAAAGGCTAGTTTAAACAAATATTGTAGGATACAAGATACACATAGAACACAATATCGTATTCGTAAAGTATATTTTAAATCCAAAAGAGCTCCTAGAATCTGTCACTTAAAAATCAGATTGTTTCGCGATAAGTTATTTATGTAGCGCGTTATCGTTTGTCAGCTCACGATTTTCACATTGATGTTAAAAAAATATGCAAATAAAATATTATTTTTTCATTAAATTGGGTCTGAACCTTAACTTAATTTATATGTGAATAAATTGGTTTAATGTATAAAATCAATGATAATCTACCCATTCGATTTGTCACTTATTTCATAATATGTTTCGTTTGGGCAGATGCTTTGTAGCACCGTCTAGCTAGGTCCTGCGTTAATTTTGACAACAGTGTGCTTAGTGCGAGTTTTTTAACGTTCTCGATAGCGTAAAAGTTAACTCAAATTTGTATGCAGTTGGAACAGCGCCACTAGCGGCAAACGTTCCAACTGCGTAAAAATTTGATTTAACTTTTACGCTATCGAGACACCGCACAGTGCACGTAATACATTGCTGGGCACGAGCGCCACATGTCTCGCGCAATGGATAAGTAGAATTTTATTAAAGTAAGATTTATAGAGTTGCGTAATATGAAGTCCGATGCGTTGGTGCGATCTGATTCCAACCACATTGGACGCATCTGTAGATGTGTTGTCGGTCGCCGTGGATAAGGTAGGATGGCGTAACATTACAAAATCATTAGGGGACTCCAGGGAGACTAGATACAGTGTATATTGAAATAAAAAAAGAGAGTGAAAGAACAGATATTTCTAGACAAGATTACACAAAAAAGAATCTATTAATGTTGTTCGAACTGCAATATAACATTATTAAAATTAGCCGATTCAGACTGTTGAAGGTTTCCGATGACCACGAAATCCACTGGCTGTCATCATATTGGCTTTGCATTCCACGGTTATGATTTTTATTTGTTTATTTTAGATAGGTGGACGAGCTCACAGCCCACCTGGTGTTAAGTGGTTGGTTACTGGAGCCCATAGACATCCACAACGTAAATGCGCCACCCACCTTGAGATATAAGTTCTAAGGTCTCGAGTATAGTTACAACGGCTGCCCCACCCTTTAAACTAAAACGCATTACTGCTTCACGGCAGAAATAGGCAGGGTGGTGGTACCCACCCGCGCGGACTCACAACAGGTCCTACCACCAGTAATTACGCAAATTATAATTTTGCGGGTTTCATTTTTATTACACGATGATATTCCTTCACCGTGGAAGTCAATCGTGAACAATTGTCAAGTACGTATTTCATTAGAAAAATTCGTACCCGCCTGAGATTCGAACACCGGTGCATCACTCAACATGTATGTACCGGACGTCTTATCCGTTAGGCCACGACGACTTCAAACGATTGTTACATGACAGAAATAAAGTGGTTGGATAGTGATAGTATGAACTGAAATTTAGCAATACGCATTTTGTTACAAGTAGGTACTTTGATTACTGAAGAATCAGAGGACCGATTACCTTTTGCTAATCGCTGATATCTTTCATTTTATGTGATAGGTATTAGATATCATAAAACATATTAATTAATAAAATAAATACAGTGTTTAATTTAGGAAATGAAAATGATCAATTGCATGCTCTATATCATTGGTTGTACAAAATTTTCAAGGTGGTTAAAACAAGTTCGAATCTGTTTTGATTATACCAAATTATACTGCCATTCCATATTTTAAATCGAAACTCTTGATTGCTATGTTATGTAACCCGTGTGGGCTCCGACAATATGCTCTATTACCAGTAACGACTAGTTGGCGATTGCAGTAGGCTTATATTTCCTTTTGAGGTTCCATTCTCCATTGTCCAGTTCATGACTTAGTCAATTTGCACGAAACCCGCGGGAAGGGATGGGGAGCAACTATTCTAGTGTGTGATGTGTAAAAGTGGCTAGGGAATTAACAATTTGTTTTTAGCCACGGGCTTGGCAAAGTACATTCGTATTTCTTCTATGGGTTGAAATTTCAATTGTTTTATATTATATTACGACCGTTCCACCCTTTGTGATGGAATGCATTGGTGCTTCGTGGCAGAAATTTGGTTCGGTATTACTAGTTTTAAAATCTATCGGATTTCGAGGTTTGCTATTCACTCTGTACGTATTGAATCTACCCGAATTTGTGTTTTAAAGACTATTAATAATACAATAATATGTTATGATATTAAGTTGATAGCGTGGTGAGCAGCGAATTCGTATTTCACTGGGAAAATATGGCGAATATACATATTATTATAGTAACTCTGTAAGGTAATATTTACAGAAGTTGTGACAGATTATGACTACACGTGTCGTGAGAATAACGGAAACAAATAATTTAATGTTTAACAAGTTAATTAGTGATGACGATTGTTATATATTTAGATCAATTGTTCGGCCATGCCAAGTTTAACACACACCTGAAACTATAATACTCTAGGTTTATGTTGTTTGAAGGATAATTTCTTTGAGCTTTATTTTTAACATAGTTTGTGTGCTGTTTCGTTTAGAAGTTTAAAGTTAATTTAACATTCATTATATAACGTCTCGTAAAATCGAGTCACCGATAGAAATGGTTCTGAGAAATACAAACATTCATAGTACAGGTCATTTAGATTTAATTATCTCCGAGAATTAAATTGGCTATTTCATTTCGGAAATATTTAATTCCTAGCGTATTGAAACTTACAGAGTATAATGTTAGCACGGGGAACATGGGGATCCCAGATGGCATTGTAAGCTCACGCAGTCCTAAATAATTTAGATACCGTTATTGAGTACTGATTTTATTTGGAAACCATTATAATTGTCCGCATGGATAACACTTTAGATATATGGTGAGGCTGGCGATCGATGCTCAGCACTGTGCTAAAAGATAGTTTACATTATTTTTTATAGCTCAATTTTTTTCCTCCCTAATCGTTTGTTGTCTAAAGGGCTATTCCAACTTCACGAGGACCGGTAGGTGAGCTCACGGGTTCAATCTGAGAGAATTGCTAACACTAGCCCTACCAAGAGCAGTGCTTCGCTGAATCTACCACCGGATAGGAAACGCGACCCACCGAGAAAATCCGGCGAGAAACTCAGTGGGCTGTGTCTGTGGGTTAATTTACTCGCCGAGCCCTTCGTCGCAAGCGACGGGTTCGACGAGAACAATGACCGGTGTTTGAGGTACCTAAAAGCACAGTTAGTGGATCGGGATGATCCGAGATGACGTGTTTTAGGCGACGTCGACTTTTTACCATTTGGTCCGCAGGATCGCCCATGTAGTTACCGGCGGCCATGATGTTAATGAGGTTCTCGTGTCGTGCCGCTTTATCCAATTGGGCGAGCCATTTTCAAACATGGATTTATATTTTTCAACAGTTACAATGCCATTAAAACATGGATACAAGGAGGAAACGCTCGTACTCCACTCGGTCCCGGCCTCCACATGCTGGCGGCCGCAGAAGCGGGGGTCTTGTCTCTCGTTATGACGAACCCCATATGGGTCGTGAAGACTCGCCTTTGTCTCCAGTACAGCGAGGAGCACGTGGCCGACAACAAGAGATACAAGGGGATGGTCGACGGCCTTCTGAAGATCTACAGAACCGAGGGGATCCGAGGACTTTATAGGGTAAGTTTGTTAACGCATTGCCTATTTCAGCCGTAAAGCAGTAATGTGTTTCGGTTTGAAGGGTGGGGCAGCCGTTGTAATTATAATGAGACCTTAGAACTCATATTTCAAGGTGGGTGGCGGCATTTACGTTTTAGATGTCTATGGGCTCCGGTAACCACTTAACACCAGGTGGGCGGTGAGCTCATCCACCAATCTAAGCAAAAAGAAAAATACAATAAGGCCGATAATCATGTGTCATTTGGTTGCAACAATATGACCGTAATTTTAGTACTAGTGGTCCACGAATGATCTTTCATTACCAGCACGACCAATACGACTGCTTAACTCCAGGTGGGTCGTGAGCTAGTTCACCCATTAATGCTTATTACGTAATTGAAACAAATGAATATCGTCTCAGGAACTGAACCCGATATATTTATATTTTAGGGATCCATGTTTATGTAGCTTATATGTACGCATTGACGCGTTTTGAACATTACTGCGTCATTCTATAAATACAATTGATAAATTCAATTGCCTCTCAAATCACATGTACTTCATTTTATTGATAACTGACGAGGTATTTATCAAAGAAATCGCGTACGTCATTGTGTTGTATTGATTCTCATACGAGTTTTATGTTTACGTCCAAAACTCCTTTATTGCTTAGTACTCAGTTTCGTTCGTAATATACAACAGTACAGTGTTGCGCTATTGTCAATGTCGTTGCCAATGTATTGGAATAATGATCATAGCAAGTATTGTTTTTTTCATTCGAGAGTAACTCTGTCTGATTGTAAGGTATTCATGCCTAATCACTGAATCGATGTTGACGAAATTAGGTATGTATATAAATATAATAAAATATTGTACTGGTAGTAGGACCTCGTGTGAGTCCGCGCGGGTAGGTACCACCACCTTGCCTATTTCTGCCGTGAAGCAGTAATGCGTTTCGGTTTGAAGGGTGGGGCAGCCGTTGTAACTATACTTCTTGAGACCTTAAAACTTATATCTCAAGGTGGGTGGCGCATTTACGTCGTAGATGTCTATGGGCTCCAGTAACCACTTAACACCAGGTGGGCTGTGAGCTCGTCCACCCATCTAAGCAACAAAAAAAAAACCTACTTAACAATACATAGATATTAAAAAATACGATTTACAAACGTATAAAAAATTCGTACTTGTTTTGTATTTATCTATTTATGTAGATTTAGAATGTTTTAAAATTCGTTCCGTTTCAATATATAAAGACGGAAACATCAAATGACGTCATTCGAACGGTTTCAATGGCGATATTGAACACTGATATGCTTGGGAACAGTTTGCTTAGTGTGAGTTTTTTAACGTTCTCGATAGCGTAAGAGTTAACCCAATTTCGGATGCAGTTGAGACAGCGCCCCTAACGGCAAACGTAGGCAAACGATCCCATTCCATACAAATATGAGTATGTATTATGTTTGAGTTCCTAATTCTTCTCTCCCTTTGCGGGCCTACTAGAAGAGATTTCAACATGAAATAAGTAGTGCCCTTGTACTCTGTATCCTTATTGTCGTGTTTTTTCTAACAGCTGTGTGTACAAAATATATTAAATAAAAAAAATTAAAATTGAATGAGTTAACTTTTACGCCATCTCTCGATGTTCAAAAACACGCACTAAGCACACAGGACTCGCATCGGGCCACTGTTAGGGCCTCATTATGTTTTTAACTTAGTGTTGAATTGCTTTTTAATTATTCGAACATTTCATTTCGCTGTCCCGAGTAATGATGTGACCCGAATCGATATTGCACGTTTCCAAGATCGAATATGCAAGATGTGGCGGTAACTATCATACAACACAAGATATGTGACAGTTGCCAGAATCTCCCTTATGACATTTTCAAGATAAGCTTGGATATACATATATACAAGTTCCGAACAATAACATTAGGACCGTCGGTCTACTGAGCAATATCACCCGCTCGGTGGAAGATCTTCCCTTTGTCGTTAACAACTCCCAAAGTAGATATTTTAAATTTCATAACTATTTCCTTAGCTTCAACTGTTTTCAAGATTATAATGCGGTACCCAAACGTAATTCCAGGCTGATTCGTTTGTTTACATACTAAATTTATGTTCCTTTCTCACCTCACGGTCTAAATTTACTATACGAATTTTATTATTCATTGAAGCTAGACTAGAGAATATGTTTTGATGCAAAACGTAAGACGCACACTTAATAGTTAAAATACACATACGTATTGTATTGGTATTGTTACGCGTGTAAAGCTTGATTGAACCTTATCATCATTCAGGGTTAGTTCGTTTTCCAATGTTTTCGACTGTTGATAAGACGGTTTTTTTTATCGCTCGTGTCGCCCCCTCGTGTTCGAGTTAGTGAAGATATCTGACCTTGTGATCGTAAATAAGTATTTCTCCGTTTCTTTTTTTTATTCTCCTTGAATTCTGGATGTCAAATCTCTGTGGTAGTACATTGGTTTTATCGTGTATTCCATAGGGAGTAGCTAAGGAGTCGTACGAGATGGACCTGTCATCATCTTTTATCGTCATAACATCCGCTATTGGAGCAGATTTCGTTCCTACTACTCTACTACACAGAGCGTTTCTAGAGATCTTTTTGGCACGCACCATCACACCCTGAAATGTCTTCTTCTACATGGTGTTTCCTCGTGCTCTGTTTTTTTTGTAATACTGTTCTTCTTTCTACGAACATTGAAATGAGTCCTTAGCGGTAGGCAGCGGTTTGGCCGGATGGTGTCCAATGAAAGAATATATTCACTTCTTTGTGTATGATCATATCCATCTGCAATTTAGCCACATCGCTCGGTATTTCTTGAATAATTACATTGGATTAATATCGGATCTTTCCATATAATTGTCGAGAATTCTATTCTTTGAAATTGTTTTGATAGTTTTCAAAATATTGGTTTTTTAACATGTTGAATGAACCAACTAAAGAATATTTTGTAGATTATGTATCTGCTCAGGATTTCCACACTCCGAGTACCTTGATTGCTTGCCATATTTTATGCACTGCTCTGCACAGACATATTATTACTATGGATCTCTTCAATAATATGATTAAATGTTTCAATAGTTTGTGATTATCAAACCAAATTCGTTCTTTAGACCGGTATTGTCATATTCAGTTCGTATTAAAATACCCCAGCTTAAGGTATTTCGGCCTTAATATTTGACAAGGTACCTGGTACACGGAATATTTCTTCTTCTCTCTTTTCAACACCTTATCCCACTAGGTTGGGTCGGCACAGCTAATTTTTTTCTTCCATTCTCTTCTATCAGTTGTCATCTCAGCACTCACTCCTCTCTCTCTCTCTCATATCGTCATTCACTCACTCCATCCATGTCTTCTTCGGTCGACCTCTTCCCCCTGTACCTTGTACTACAATTTCCATACATCTCCTAGTCACATGCATCTTCTCTCAACGCGTCAAATGTCAATTTAATTTGTGTGATTTGAACACCGCAATTCAGTGTCTCGTTTAAGTATACGATGACCTATTTATATCAGTGTGGTCCTATGCCTGTTTGTATACGTAATACGACCGCGGAGCTCCGGTTTGAGGTCGAACAATTGCAAGCGGGATTGTGTTATCGGAAGTTTTAGGCTAATGAGAGACGTGCCTCAGTTGTTGTTATAAAAGGCAAGAATAGACGTAAGAACGAAGATAAATGTGAGTAGCACTAACGCGGGTCGATTATTAGAAAAAGAAAAATTGTGCTATTAAGACGTAATACCTAATGTCACCATTTATATTTTTACTCAAAACGGGACGTTGGTTTATTTGAGACAACAGACAGGTACAAAATCGAAAAAAAAATTAGTACTTTTTAAAAGTTATTATTCGGAAAAGTTAGTTTGTAAATTACGAATTAAAGAACATATTATATATTCAAGATGTTCAGAGTTATATTTATATTTATTAGAGGTACAAATTTGCTTTAATATAACTAACACCGCTCGCGTTCGGCCGAAAACGGGACAATTTTGCGTTCCAGAGTTCATTTCGGGGACACCGGGACTCGTAATTATAAAAAGGGACAGTCCCGTTCAAGACGGGACGACGTTAGTAATACCTAATAATGATGAAATTCAAAATTAATGGTATATATATTTTTTTAAAACATTTCCTTTATTTTATGTTTATCACATTAGATGGATGTTTAATGAGGAGTCTATAGACATTTGTGAAATTTTTAGTATAACAGCTGCCTCGTCTTTCAAATCGGCAGACGTAACTGTTTCAGATATGTAGAATAAAAAAGTACATAAAGTTTACATTTTAAACGGAGTAGTGTTTGCTAGAATAATAATCATAATTTATTATTCATTAATTATTTAGTATTCAGCTGGCGACTTGATATGTTAATGTTTTTGATCGGACAAAGTTCAATGGAGATAAAGGGTTTGAAAAACACATTATTTCTCAATATTTATATAACATTGTGAATCAACTGTATTCATCAATAAACTTTAACAAAATTCTTATATTGTTTTTGATGAATTTGATTTGAAATTTATTTAAAATATTTTAAAAAAGATATAAGAAATAATGAGTTGGGTTAAATCAAATTTATTTAATTATTAAAACTGACGATATAAATTTATCTGGACAATTTTGTATGAATACAAAATACTATATCTAATACTGTAACAAAATCTACAATAATAGTTGTATGTCGGTTTGCTACGGGGAGATGTAATTAAACCGTTGAAATTAAATACTCAGACTGTACCAAGCTACCTATTATTTCTTTGATACTTTAAAGAAAAAAAGTCATAGCGGATGGGGGACAGGGCAGAAACGATCCTTTATGAGGCACCGGCGATCATCGCACCGTTATCCGGTGTTAGGGATGAGCTCTGCTTCGTTGCCGGGTGATGCGGTAGTAAAACTCTATTACAGTGTACGCTTAAGTCACGTTTGACACGTGACTCGACCGCATCGATATGACGAACGAATGTAAGCTGCACGTTGCGCACGCTTCGCAAACACGAGCGAAAACAACGATAATTAACGAGAAAACGTTACGTGTACAAGTTTATCTGTTGATGTAAACAAAGGAATATATAATGTTACGTAATAAAAGGTTTATTACATGCGTCACGTTGTCATAACTCGAATTAGTAAAACATACAAATATAAGTATGTAGTTTTATATTGGTGACTAGCTGACCCGGCAGACTTCGTAGTGCCTCAATCGATAAATAAAAAGCTTATACTTTTGTATAAAATAAACTTAAAATAAACAAAAGGAATCCGTCCGACGTCCGGGACACATCAAAGGAAAAACAAAATTGTTATTTTTATTTCATTCCAGCATTTTTATATTTATCTGCGTTTTAAACCTTCTCTGGACTTCCACAAATAATTCAAGACCAAAATTAGTCAAATCGGCCCAGGCGTTCTCGAGTTTTAGCGAGACTAACGAACAGCAATTCATTTTTTGATTGATTGCAATTGATTGTTTTAGGACGATCGCCTTAATTATCGTTATTAAAGAGCGGATGGTTAGCGTGGGATGGACATGTGATGCGTAGAGAGAAGATGCATGTGATTAGGAGATGTATGGAAATGGTAGTGCAAGGTAGAGGGGGAAGAGGTCGACCGAAAAATCCATGGATGGAATGTGTGAGTGACGATATGAGAGAGAGAGGAGTGAGTGTTGAGATGACGGCTAATAGAAGAGAATGGAAGAGAAAAATTACCAACCCCGCCTAGTGGGATAAGGTGGAGAAAAAGAAGATTCCGTTTTTTAAACATACAATGTGATCGAATTTTTATTGATTACATTTTAATACTATAGAAGATTGAGTTTGATATTTAAAAAAAAAACTGCCACTGTTGCGGAAAAGTCTTAGATTCATGAATGATTGATTAAGTATGTTCGCAAAATTTTTGTTTCCTGTTCCTCTATAATGTCAAGTCGCGGCTTATCTCAGAGTCGGTCAGGTGATTGTCGTCACGGCAAAAATGTGTAAATCCGTCTGGGTGAATGAATAACAATGGACGTGGAAAACGACGTGTTCTTTATTTTTTGGCTTTCGATCTCGGCTTGTGTGCGAGTACGAAAAATTCATTCAATATTTATGATCGCAATTTTTTGAATGTCGTTTGATTTAGTTGACAATAAAAAAGGAATTATTAAATAAAAATATATATGTATTTAAACATTTTGGTTTATTTATAACTTTAATAATTTATTATAACTTTTATCATAAAGAGGATGAGTTTTTCGCGAATCGTTGACGTAAATCAAAATATTATCTCGTTACATAATTGCCGAGTTTTTGATAATTATTTTCGTATTACGTCATTGAGTTTAGTAAGAAGCAAATGCTTTCTTACGTTTTCCATACATTTACGAACCCACAGATGTTTCTCGCCGGATCTTCTCAGTGGGTCGCGTTTCCGATCCGGTGGTAGATTCTGCGAAGCACTGCTCTTGCTAGGGCAAGTGTTAGCAACGCCTCCGGTTTGAGCCTCGACACCTCACCTACATGCTAGGGTAATGCTGATATAGCCTCTCAAGGCTGTCAGCATAGGTAGGAAAAAATAATAATACGTTCGTCTCAAAAAGCATAAGTAAACAAAAGCTTGCCAAATATATATAATATGTATATATAGTTGATGTGACGTATTTTAGTAGGTAATGTAGTTCTTTCATGAGTCGTTTTGTTATTAATGTGGTGGTGCTGGCGAGGAACGTATGTAATTATTGTTTTAAATAGACATGCTCCACGTTTGAACGGAATTTACATATTATTAGATCGTCTATACTAATATTATAAAGAGGAAAGATTTGTTTGTTTGTTTGTTTCGAATAGGCTCCGAAACTACTGGACCGATTTGAAAAATTCTTTTTCCATTAGAAGCCGACATTGTCCCTGATGAACATAGGCTACTTTTTTAATTATTTTTTTTTTTTTTTTTTTTGGTTTCATGTGTGTTTTAATGTTTCCGAAGCGAAGCGAGGGCGGGTCGCTAGTCTTCTTTTTATATCTGTATGTGTACTGCGTGATGTGATTGTGTGTGTTATGTTGACATTAATGAGCGGTTTTATAACCTCCGGTATGAGAACGATATATCGACACGGGTACAGGCTCAACGATATTGAATTCGCCAATGTCAGGGCTGACCAAGATAGGGATACAGAGGCGGATCAACTAAATGTTATCTATCAGTCTTTAAAGAAAAGAAAAAGCGTTTTTTTGTTGTTTTTTTTGCCTACCTATGCAAGGGGGTTATGCTAGCTTCACCAAACGTGGATAAACGTGACGCAAGCGACCCGTCCGCGTTTTGGACAGTCTCCGGCTAAGTCATTTTTATTTTAATCCTGTGTCGTGTCGGAGTGTGTAAAAGCGCTTTTCATTGGAAATATTGATGCTCTAGTAGGTTTGTGGAAAATTTTAACGTGGTCCGTTTTTTTTGTATAGAAAAGGAAACTCATATGTTTTTGGTTATAACGTACCTATAATTAGACAGATATGTTTGATCGCAAATATGTATATTTATATGTAGTAGTGGCTTCGAAGGTAGTAAACATTGTATTGTTTTCAATTTCAATATGGCACATGCACATATTGTGCATTGTGGCACATTGTTTTCAATATTGCACAGGAGACAACTTTTTTTTTCTCATCAATACCGAAACCTCATTCGAGTACTTTTAATTATTTGAGATTACCTCATGCAGCACATGATACGATAGATCTCTGGTGGGAATTAAATTTGTTTTTACAATTAAATTCATTCAGCATACGATCATGTCTGACCTATAATGTAGTTTTCTTATTTTATCTATGCGTGAACCTCACAGTCCAGTAAATATATTGTGGTGTTTATTACAGTGAAATGTGGCCTTTTGTTTTTTGTGTAATGTGAAATGTGATTTTTTGTTTTTTCTAATTGCAGGGTTTCGTTCCTGGAATGTTTGGCGTGTCTCACGGAGCCCTCCAGTTCATGACCTACGAGGAAATGAAGAACAGATACAACCAGTACAGGAATCTACCGATTGACATAAAATTGGTATGTTTTATTTTTATTAGCGTAAAAACTGCTGCATGAACATTGGAGTGCATTACCTTGAGTACACGGCGTTCACACAAGTTATTGAAATCATCGCAACAGTTAAGTGGTTTTTAAAATTACCCAAATTTTGGGGGAAATTTTTCACTGTTCCTGTAAACTTTATTTGGACTATAGATGGAACAGTATTAAAATATTACTAATATAGATTATGGATGCTGGGTAATTTGAAAATGGAATGTGAGTTTCTGGTCTTTGTTTTTGTCCATTTTGAAAACAGGACCTCTTGTAAACATGAGAATGATTAGTTTTTGATATAAAATATATGAAATTTGGAAATAAAATTGAGAAGTTTAAAAAGTAGCTTAGTGGTTATTTTTTATCTTGAAAAAGCAAGGCTCTTGTTGCTTGATTAAGTGCCATAAAAATAATAGTTTGAAGATGACACAGTACGTAAAGTAAAAATGTCATGTCCTGATATACAGAGAAGAAATCAAGTTCAAGAAAACACTCCTATACAACATAAAGGCAAGATACAACTCACATTGATATATAGACATTGCAAAAATAAAAAAAGCACTGAATGTCGTGTTATTAATGTTTATATAGTCCACGACGGAATCTTTTTAAAATGCATTCCCGAATCTTGTTTATGACTGTGAGACTCTTCCAAATATCTGCCAAATTATTTTAAATTTACATACACTATTACCTAACGAATTCTGATCACGATTTTTTGGTTCACTGAGCTCCCTATATTTCGCTGGTGTTGCAAGCTCTATGAACACAGATAGACTTAGACTAGAGATTTATATAAAAATTACATTAAATGTTGTGCAATGTCATAAATATATTTTACAAAACTGATTTTTTTTTTGGTCCAAATTGTCTGGGGGAAAATTTTCTAGGATTGTTCGTAAATGTCAATAAATTTCATTAGATGCTTCATGTTCACTGTCTATTTACACCCAACTAGTCTTACGTAGGGTATAGTTGGACTCATGCCAGACATGTTACGTGTACGAAGACCTAATCGAAATACGCCCGTAATCCACTACGCTGCTATATATTCGATGCTATATTTACTCGTACAGCTCAGCGGCTGCGAATCGCCAATATGTAAACAAACATTAAATGAATCTACAAATAAGTTCCTAGAATTACTTCTAATTTCGCGTATAAATAAATAAATAAATAAATATTTATTAACAATCACGCCACGTTAACTGGTCCCGTGATAAGTTCGTAAAGAACTTGTGTTACAGGTACCAGATAAGGGAAATAAATGTAAGATTTTTATTATACACATACATATATTTAATATACATCCATAACCCTGGAAAAGACATTTATATTTGTCATACAAATATCTTCTCTTGGCGGGATTCGAACCCGCAACCCCCTTGTGTAGTGACCATGTCACTTACCACTACACCAGACGGCCGTTAAATATTATATTGCCGTATATTATTATTATTAAATTACTTCTGAAGTTTCGAATACTTTACAGTTTTCGTGGTCATTAACGATTGTTACAGACGAAATGACAATAATGAATGCGAGATAAAAACGTAAAAGCTTTCTAAATAAGTTGTTGATAATTATAGTAATAGTGATTGAATTAAGTTATTACCATGGCCATTAATAACATAAACATATTTTTAATTATTTCATTTTTTTGACGAGCGTACGTGATTAAAGCGCATACCGTATAAATATTTGACGTTATCCATATAATCGAACGTCGAAGTCTCAATGGCAGTTGAATAACTGGTTTTCCATTCTCGCATACGAATAGGAAGCTATGACATGATCGCTTTTGCCACCGATTCTGAATTCTATATCGTCATTGTCGTCTTTTACAGACGTCCGTCGAATATTTGACATTTGCTGCAATATCGAAATTGATAGCGGCGGGCGCGACGTACCCTTACCAAGTCGTGAGAGCGCGTCTCCAAGATCAGCACAGGACGTACAATGGAGCCTGGCACTGCATCACCGAGACTTGGAGGTACGAAAGAGTAAGGGGCTTCTACAAAGGCCTAACGCCGTACCTACTGCACGTAACACCAAACATATGCCTCGTTATGCTCATATGGGAGAAATTCACCAACAACGATTGAAACGTTTATAATTATATTTATTTTGTATCTGATGGGAAATTTGTGTTAAGACTATTTATTTTATGTTCTCTTTTTTTTTGTTCGACAGCTCATTCTAACAGGGTTATTGGATCGAGCTATTAATAATTTAGCGGATTCGTTTTGAATTTTTGATTGGAAGAAATTGTGATGATTATTAAAGTTTAATTTCATAATTGAAAAAAGTAAATTGTTTTGTAGCTATTAGTGGATGTACGATCTTAGTTTTCGGTTGTCTGTGGATTGTTTGAGTAAGGTAAGCATTTTAGTGTTTAAGCAGAAATTAATTTAATCCTCATTGTAGTGTTTTCCCGATTGATTTATTGCATTTTGTATACTGTATAACTATCGACGAAATATGTAAATGTCGGGTTTTAGTTTCTGTTATGGAACTATTTATAATTGTGACAAATTTTTGGCACTAACGCTAGAAATTGTGTATTTGGCACGTAATGTATGGAAGTTTTAAACGAATTGTAGTATTTTAAAATAGACTATGAATGCTTCCTGAAATGGTTGTTCTTTATGTTGTAATTATTAAATTATTATATTATTATGTACTGTATTAGAGCAGGACTATTGTCACAAAACAGTGACGTGTAAAACTTTGTTCAATTTTGCTGTTTGCTGAAAAGAATTCCATCAATAATTTATCATTGTAATCAGTCTCACGACATATGTTGTGTTCTAACTCACATAAAACTTAGTTTCGATACTCTTTCCCATCAGATATCAAATTAATTTAACGATGCTGGCAACGTTCTATGCGTATCTAGGTGTTGCCATGCTTAGCGCAATTTTTTAGTTTTTAATTTTTTTTTGTGATAATAGCGTGTATTTATGTATTATTGTTGGTGTCTTTCTGAAATATTTTTGTAATGGGATTATTAAAAGACACTTTCTAAATAGTTATTCGTAAAGATAACGTTACATGTGTGGTGAGACGACGTTAGGTTTTATTTGAACTTGTTTTTGACCTATATTAAATTCAAGTTAAAAGAGATTTAGGCTTTGCTTTGTGTGGGCGACGAGAGTGATGCAGAGAAGCGATGCGATGCGATGCGCAACGTTGAATAAAATAAAATTAAAAAGTGCCCGGGCCGTAACGTAATCAACTTGCGGCCTAACGTGCTTTTGTTCGTGATGCGTCCAATTTGAGATTTGTTAGTCGTTCTTAGTAAAATGCGGAAAACGCACAGAGATAAGTCGTTACATTCAATAATAACTTTACAAAAAGAAATCGAAGAAGATAGAAGGCAAACTCTTAGACTAGTTTTAGTATGAACGTAATTATATAGTTTGGCGAGTTTTTTTAAAGCAACATATTGTCTTAGAGGTTAATAGCGGACGACTCTTAGCCCTTTGACCGCCATGTAGGTCACCGGTGCCCTAAGCGGCGCGCTGAAGTTATTAATGTCGATTCCTGTTACTAAGCCACTGGATTGCCTAATTGCCTGGTCTCTTAAAAATAGGTTCATTCTCAGTATCTTTGGATTCGTCTTTCCCAGAATCTGCTAAATATTCCGGCGTCTTAATAACAGTAATCGACATAATTACTTCAGTCACTAAAGTTCAGTGCGCCGCGTAGGGCACGGGTGAACTGCGTGGCAGTCAACGCGTCAAGTAGTTATGAAAATTTAATTTCAAATCGCGTCGCATCGCTTCTTCTCGCTTCCCGTCACTCGTCTAGGAAATCATGAGGAAGCTCGAAAAGCTTTAAAAAATAATAGTTGGATAGATGAAAATGAAATTTTTATATGTTGAACTTGTTTGTTTTTTCGGTACCGCCTCTTGTTCCCTCATAATATAATATTAAATTTAAAAAAAATAGTACAATTGCACATAATGTTTAGATAAAAAAGAATCCAATATTTGGAAAGGTGAAAATAATAAAGATAACTGAATTTCACATACGGCACTATCACGCGCAGCAAAGAAATGTTAACATACATTTTTAATCACATTTTGATTCACAGTAATAATTGAATATTTTTTTTTTCTTATTCACTGGTAGTCATGAATGTCAATGAAAATTTAAGTGACTGTTGAAAACGATGAAGGAATAAAATGATAACAAAAATCAACCAAATCCTTGAATGTGATGTTTAGAAAATACAAAGAAAACTAAAGCATATAAGATTAAATGAGTTGTGGAAATAACATAGTTGAAAATATAAATTTTGTGACCGGAAGCTATTTCTGTTTGAACTGTTCTGAATTTGTTGATAGATCGAAATTGAAAATTTGTTTATAAAAAAATAAATTAAACTGGTAGATTTATTTAATTGTGTAAAGATCTGTTTTTTATTAATGAAAAAAAAAGTAGTCCTAAAAATATGTATTTCGTAGAAAATTTAAATACCATTTTTAATTTTATTTAGGGATCGTTACAAACGAATTATTAGCGGCGTATTCTTGTTGTTTAAACGTCAAATAGTTTGACATAATTTATAGCTTCCCGTCGCACAAGCGTAGCTTCGACGATGTAACTACGGATTTAGTTCAACGTTGTTCTATCGGTGGCTGGCCACCAAATCAAACTGTAAACTTAAATAATATTATTATATTTTTATAACTATTAATCAAATAGATAAAAAAAATTCTACTGTTTCGACTTTAGCCTTTTCAATTTGTGTATTCAATAAAAAAAGATAGCAAATTGATTTTTTGGTGTTTTTGTTTTCATTTTTTTTTCTGTTCAAATCTTACTGTATTCCTGACGTGTAAGTAAGTATACCTACCAAATGCGAATTAAAAGTAATTCAGATGATTACATCTAAACGCATTAGTATCAAAATCTGGTCTTAGAATTCTATCTAACCAACCGATAAAATACGTGTAGTAGGAATACAATTATGTGCAACTAAAATTAAAACCTTATGCTTTTAATGGAAGAGGTAAGTGACGAACGCGTAGGTGATTAAAAAAAAAATATCAGTTTTTTTTTGTTTTTTTTTTTTCGCAGGCACGAGTCATGGCGCGGTTTCTACAAGGGCTTGAAGCCGAACTTGATCCGCGTCGTTCCGGCCACAATGGTTACTTTCCTGACATACGAAAATGTCTCGCACTACATGCTGCGACCGGCTGCCGACATAAAGCTGCCTTCCTAGCGATGAATAATTAAAAATAAATAATAGGTTTAAAAAAAAAACTAACAAAATACACTTTTATAAAAAATCCTGTACGTCACTCTCGCGGCCGTATGCCCGCTCACTATACATAGTTTTTAGTATCTCTATGTCCGTCTCTTTGACAGAGTGTATAATCTATGTTCCGGGCGCTTCCGTTTTGAGTGTGAGTAGCGTGCGCCCGCGTCTTGTAATAATTATTATCGTTTTAAAATTGAAAATTGTTTGTGTTTAAGAAAGGTTAGAATTCGAAATTCGATACTAGTGACTAACCTGTAGTTTTATTGAATAAAAATACCCCTGAGATCTACCCCTCTATAAATTTTAATAAATTTGAATTAAAAATAGTGTAAGAAAAAAATCTTTTATTGTAAAAAAGCGTGGAGTGCTTTTCAGGATATTATCAAGATGACCCTTCTACTCATCTGGGCATAAAATATTTATAACAACTGATACCATGCACCCCACTCTTTTTTAAAAATCATTTTTTCTTACACTATTTTTAATGCAAATTTATTAAAATTTATTATCTATTTTTTAGTCGGATTTTCTATAAAAGCGTATTTTGTTAGTTTTTTTTAAACTATTATTTATTTTTCATTTTTTAGTTGAATTTCAATTTTTTCAATTTTTTTTATACATTGAATTGTCATCGGTCTTTAATAAGTGTACCAAATTTCCAGATAATCCGACGTTTTGAAGGGGGTCTAAATCATGTTTAAAGATTCCGTTACAAACATACATACTAACATACATACGTCTGAAGCTAATAAAAGCGTATTAAAATTAAACAATACCCTCCATCGCCTAACAGACAATAGCTGAATTATATGCATTAAAAATAAAACAATGATGGTCACTACAGATAGGCACAGCCGACCCTTGAAACATTTCATTGGAATTCAGTTTTGTCTTGTATGAAGAAAATAAAAAGAGGAATCCGAAGTCATATACAAGATGTGAATTAAGGGCTACCTATAACGAAGGCTGATAAAACAGCTAATGCCTCCTAACGTGTATACAGAAAAAAATCGCAATTTTGTGCAAAATTGAAACTGGAAAACTTGATTATATGAAAAGTTTTTTTTTGCATCTTAGTTCAGCACGAACAGACTTGTTTTCGGCTTAATTAAATTACACCCTGTACATGAAAAGAAAAAAATCAGTTACGTCCTTATGATGATTAAATTACCTACTTTGATGATGCTCTTTCTAAATAAATAACTACCCGAGTCATGTTTACTATGAAAATTAGCATCGTAACATTGACAATTAAATTTACGATTATGATATGATGGAGCTTGGCACCGGACACGTTAAGTTTTCATTTTTACGTTTACTTTTTAACGTATTAGCGTGAGCTATGTTTTCGAACATTGTGGACAGTATAAGCAATGTATTCACCATGTTATAGGTCTATAAAATACAGGCAAGTTCAAACGATAACGTTTTCTATAAATCATCCGGCGTCAACTGGTGACCAATAAAATTAAAGGCACAGTAAAGCATCATAAAAATGAAAATTAAATAAAGCATCATAAAGATAGAACTTTATATTTTAAAATAAATTGTTGTATTGTTGCTTACTTGCGGTATTGTTGGGTATATGCATGGTTGGGTACCACCATCCTGCCCTTTTCAATCCCGGAGCAGTCACGCGCTCTGGTTCTAAGGGTGGGGCAGTCGTGGGTGGGCCGTCGGAGGCACTTGAAGTTGGAATTCATTTGTGACGTGTAATGGGTTCTGGAAACTGCAAGAAAGTGTGATCAGGAATAGTCTTGAGGATTATATTGCTATAAGAAACATGACTTTCTTCTTCTGAAACAAGGTAATGGCATTATAGCAGCGTAGACAATTGCTTGTTCATAATTTAAAAAAAAAAACAACGTACAAATCCTCATTATGTTTTTAACTTTTTAAATGTTGAAGTTACCCGAATATTAATACGTTAAATTTATTTTGGAAAATGTAATTAATTTTGTTTTATATTTTTGTTGCATAGGTAAGTGAATGAGCTGACCGCCCATTAGGTGTAAAGTGTTTACCGGAATTGAAAGATGTAAAATTAAAGCCATGAGATGGAAGTCGAAGTAAGACGAGGCGTATTGTATGTATAATGGCTGACGCTTCCTTTATGCCGGAACGCATGATTGCATCGCGGCAGAAATGGGAATCGTGGTGATACCGATCCACGAACGTTCGCAAGGCGTCTTCCCACCACCGTAGTAAATGCTTTTTTATTTACCTTTTTTGTGTGGTAGAAGCTAATTTCTTTTAATGTTAAGTACCTATGTGTATAACAGATGTGCGTATGTCTTAAATTTAGTAGAGGACTTTTAATAGTTTCTAGAAAATTTAGAAGATTGCATTCCTTAACCTCTTTTCTGAATAAACATTTAAATATCACAATCTGCTAGTTCTGTATTGGCTTTGACCTAATTAGGAGTAAAGTTGAGAGGTCATTATTAAATAAGGCAATAGCACAATACAAGGCAATACTCAGCTTTCCTTGAATCGAGATTTTGTATGTAAGAAGTGGCGATGGTATGGAAAGTATGAAGTAATTTTAATTTATTTAGAACTGATTGTTACGTTTAAAAAAAGACAAACAAAGAGAAACAGTATGTATTTACCAATGAGATTTAATTTTTTAATTCTAAATGCATTTTCTAGATTAGTGTTCAGTTATGAAGCGGAGAATATTTTGTGTAAGTGAATAATAAAAAAAACTTTGATTATAATTGTTTATGGTCAAGTAAGGTTTTATACCTATTAAATTACCTTAAGATAAATAATGTGTTTTTGTTTTGTGTAGAAAATTGGATTGCCAGAGATAATTTTGATAATTTGCGACGCGTGTCTTTGATTGTTATTTTGTAAATTATGCAATATGCCAAGTTGCCTTAGTTTAGACAGATATTAGATTTAGACCGTAGAAAATGTTTGGAGTTTGATCACAAATAAATGTTTATTATTATTATTGGTTGTTATTATTTCGTTATCGAATAAATATAAAAAAATGTACTTGGGTTACCTTCGTAAATTGTTATCGACCAGACGCTATGGAGCTTAATGATGACTTCCATGATGACCTAGACACGTAAGGAGGTTTATAATATTTGAAAATGATTTTGTTGTTGAAATTTTCGCAATGAATATAATGATACGGCCTTTGCAACCAATGAATAAATGCAGATTTCGAAGTGAAATAATGTAAATTAAAAAAATATTTTTTCCTCCTACTTTTTGATTATATAAAAAAACCCAATAATTTTATGGCTGTTATGAATATCAATATCGTTATCTATGTAGATTCAAGTGCTAGTTTTATCGAGACATGTGCACGGCCGGGCGTATTGCGGCGCTCGCGGCTCGGGAAACCCAAATCAGTTCGGTTCTAAAGGAACCTTTGCCCACGAAAATTAAAAGTCATACGGCAAACTGTCAAAAACGGCGCGAAAAGACTGGGATTCGTTATTTCAAAATGGTGAGTTTTACAGGAGTTTAATTATATATATTAAACTGCAGATATTTAAGTGTATTATTTATGTGAATAAAATGAAGTTAACGTAATCCATAATTAGTTTTTTTTTATATCTTAGATGGATGGACGAGCTCACAGCCCACCTGGTGTTAAGTGGTTACTGGAGCCCATAGACATCTGCAACGTAAATGCGCCACCCACCTCGAGATATAAGTTCTAAGGTCTCAGTATAGTTACAACGGCTACCCCACCCTTCGAACCGAAACGCATTCCTGCTTCACGGCGGAAATAGGCGGGGTGGTGGTACCTACCCGTGCGGACTCCCAAGAGGTCCTACCACCAGTGATTACGCAAATTATAATTTTGCGGGTTTCATTTTTATTACACGATGATATTCCTTCACCGTGGAAGTCAATCGTGAACAATTGTCAAGTACGTATTTCATTTGAAAAATTGGTACCCGCCTGAGATTCGAACACCGGTGCACCACTCAACACGAATGCACCGGACGTCTTATCCTTTAGGCCACGACGACTTCGAAATGCAATTCCGATGCGATGGTAGATTCTGCGAAGCGCTGCTCTTGGTAGAGCCAGTGTTAGCAAACTCTCAGCTTGAGCCCGTGAGCTCACCCACCCGTCAGTATGTAGTTAGAATAGCCCCTTATTGGGCTACCAACGATTAGGTAGGGAGAAAAGTATAAAGTGAATTAGGTATATAAAAATAAAATAAAAGGAACACATGGGATTAGTACATGCTAGTCTAGTAACCAACTAACTAGACAAGAAAGTAATTTTTATTAATTTACTAGCTGACCCGGCAGACTTGGTAGTGCCTCAGTCGATAAATAAAAGACGTAAAAGGAATCCGTCCGACGCGGGAGACGTCAAAGGAAAAACAAAATTGTTATTTTTATTTTATACCGAGCATTTTCATATGTATCTACCTTTTAAACCTTCTCTGGACTTCGACGAATAATTTAAGACCAAAATTAGCCAAATCGGTCCAGCCGTTCTCGAGTTTTAGCGAGACTAACGAACAGCAATTCATTTTTATATATATAGATATAGATCTCGTGGGTGTTTGTGAAAATGTGTAAAAATGTAGATACTTATTTATTTACTGACTAGCGACCTGCCCTCGTTTCGCTTCTTGAACTGTAATTTATTATTGACCTTATTGAATATTCAAGTCATATATAAGGTCAATCTTATTGAATATTCTGACAGTAATAAACAATAAAAAAGAACGTAGCAAAAAAAATCTAATCTTTCCTCTTATATTAATGGTTCACTATTACGCGATAATGGCTTACAGATAAAAGATAGATATATGTTGTCACGGGCCTTTTTGTAGGACTATTGGAGATAAACATTTCCATTTTACATTATATACGGTTTATATACTCCAACGGTTTTTGCGGCGAACGCAAAAATAGCTCGCAGATAGCAGACTTTTTTCCGTCTTACTTGACATTTCTCAAGTAAATCATACTATATTTTTATAAATTACTAGCTGACCCGGCAGCCTTCGTAGTGCATCAATCGATAAATAAAAGACCTAAACTTTTGTATAAAATAAACTTAAAACAAACGAAAAGAATCGGTCCGA